ACAGACACAAAAACAAACATGTAACAACATAAAGGCGCACACAGATGCGTAGACAAACGGTTATATCCCTGAGGTGCACCCCTTCAAGGGGCCCGCTTCTTAATATTATTCTCGTACACCTTCCGCTCGACATTTTCACTGAAAATTTTATTTTCCAAGTAATTTTGCCCTGCCTTCAATTTCTCCTCATCGATGGAATTGGCGATTTTATAGTAGGCCCAATCTTCCGTGGACTTATCGACTGTGTTGATCTGTTTATTTTCTTGTATGCTCTCAACAAGCTGATCAATGTTTGCGAAATTTCCTCCGATGTTCATTTTGTCTTTCATTCTGAGGTATCGCTTATAGGAGGAGGAGGTTTTATCGATTTTTTTCTGGACCGTGTATACTTTTCCTGCGTACATGTATTTTTTTTCCACTTTCACTGAGTTATTTTCGTAAAAGTTTTCCAGCGCGTTCTTCACCACGGTTGAAATGTCGCTGTTATACTGTTGATTGCGGCACTTCTCCTTGAATGCCTTTATGTCCATCTCGGGGGACGCTTCATTTCCGCCAAACGATGGAGAGTACTTCTTCAAATGGTCATGAAGCTTCTGCCTCGTGTTGTAGTTCTTCTCTTCCTGAGGATACTTCTTGTGAAATTGCAACAGGAAGTCTTCATCGCTAACTGACTTCTCGTGTTTGTACAGCAGCTCATATTCTCTGTTAATGTCGTGGTAGGTTTTTTCAATTTTTTCCTTTATGATTGAGTTCTTTATGATGCTTTTTATCATCTTTGGGTTGGTTTCATCTTTCCTTTTGTTTCTCTTCGCCTTCCTCAGATTGCTCACTAGCTGCTTGCCTTCTTCCTGTAGCTCCTCCTTTACTTCGTCGGACAGGTCTCCCTCATTCAGCTCCTTCTGCAGCTCCGCCTCGACGTCGTAGTTCTCGTCCTCCTCGTCGGACGAGGGAAATTCCATGGACAGGATGGTGGCCATCTTCCCAGGCGGTTCCCGATTGGCAGTTTGTAGTTAGTCTGATTGGCGAATAGCGGCTTGCAGTTAGGCTGACTGTTGGTTTGCGGTTAGGCTGATTGGCGGTTGCAGATTGGCGCTTTTCAGTTAGACTGAGTGACCACCGGTGAAATGTCCCCGCGCAGCGCACTTAACCGTCTTTGCAAAACTGAGTCGAAGTGGTGTGGAGGGGTAGGCGTGGATGTGGGTTGCTACATCAGGCGCATCTTTTCACATCGCCCCATGAGCACGCCATCCGCACGCGAGCATGAGGACAACGGATTCTATACACCCCTGGGGGCTAACTCCAATTCGGATAATCGCCCGAGAGGCGCGGTAAAGGAGCGCCTATAAATTGCTTTCCCCCTTTTGTAAAACTAATAGGAGCATTTTTTTTTTTTCTCATTCTTAACCGTCAAACAATTGCGCTAACTGTGCTGCCGCGCCCCCGTTTGGTGATGGCCCTCCTTCACGGACGGGCAAAGCAAGTTTACAAAGAAGCAGTGAAGCGCATACAGATTCGCCTTCAACATAACAGAACAGTTTGAGTGAAAATTTTTTTTGTAAATCTATTCTGGGTTAAAAAGGAGTGATCGTATTTTTTGTTCTTCTTCATTTTTTGTGGGGTCGGCGAGTACTTCTCGTGGTGCACCATTAAGTCGGTTTTTTTTTTTTTTTTGGGGGGAGGGGGGCCCCGATAGGAGGTTGAATTTTCCCCCAGCATATGGCCCATGTATTGGTAGTCTATGGCCGTATTGCTATGCACACGTGGCGAAATTATTGTGTATAATGTGCAGGGTGCACATGCAGAGTTTTTTTTTTGTGAGCATTTTTTTCTTTTTTTAAACTTGTCGTGTTGGTCGCGAGTCGTTGGAAGGGGGGGAGAAGCCTCTTCCTTTATCATGCCATGCTGTATGAGTATTTTTTTTTTTTTTTTTCCTTTTTTTCGTTTTTTTCCTTGTCAAATTCTTTTTCGCATGAGCGGTCTCCAGAAGTTTACACACCAAGGAGGGCACAGATAAGTGAAATGGTCGCAACGGATGGGGCCTCGAGCTCTCTTTTTTTCATAACCAGGGGAGAGTTTTTTTTCAAGTGACCCCAGGTTACAGCACATTGGGATGCACGGAAATTGCACCTTCAGTTGAATTTCGCAAGTTAGTGAGAGCTAACGGGGAAGCGAAGAAGAGAAGAAGAGAAGAAGCGAGGAAGAGAAAAAGCGAGGAAGAGAAAAAGCGGCATAGTTGGCAATATCCCCGTTCACCGTAGCATTGTTGCCGCCCTTATGCGATGCGCCCGCATACTGCCAACTCCGTTGTGTCTTGTTCCCCATTCAAAGTTTTTTTGCTGTACGTACCCAGCCCATACACTTTTGCATAGGCTTATAAATTTGAATTCTCAATCTCGCGCGTGAGGAACAAAGTGTATTTGCACCAAACAAATATCTTTTTTATTTTTTTTTTTTGTCACAACAGAGCGACGAGTTGATGAACCAGGAGGATACGTTGCATGACCAGCGTGTATTTATCTGTGAGAAGGCGAAGGGCTGTGTGAACGCACATGGCCTGATAAGTCCCCTCCCACTTTAGGAGCATTTAAAGAGAGCAAAAAGAATTTATTTTTATACTCTTCCCCCCTTCGGGGATAGCTAACGCAAGTTGGTAACCGTATACTTACAAGCTGGTGTAAGGCCATACGTTTATTTTCACCCATCTTCTGTGAAGCAAAAAATAAAAGAACAGGTGGAAGATTCATCTTACGTGGCCATGTTCAATAAGCGCTATCCATCTTTGTACGCGTCATTGCACAGTTCACTGCTAGACACAAGAAGTAGTCCCCCCCTCCAAAAGAAAGAAAAAAAAAAAAAAAAAGAAAACACATATGTGCATGTGCACGGAGGGAAGAGGCCCCTACGCGCGGGATGAACAAGGGGACTTTTTTTTTTTCTTCCAATTGGCCCAGTTAGGTAATTCATTACTTACGCCGAGGTGCATGTATATGTGATAAGTTATGAAGAAAGGTGATATCAATGGGGACACCCACGGATACTTTATAAAGAAAAATGAGTTTTTTTTTTTATTTTAACGTAAGAGTGTGCAGAATCGGTTGAGTGTTTTTTTTTTTTTTTTTGCAACGCGAAGACGGTTTTTTATTGCTTCCATCCTGTGTTGTGCTGTTTTTTGGGGATCACGGGAGTGACCGATTTGCTTTAGCGCCTCCGTTCTCCACGTGGGAAGGTCCAGAAGTAACCAATTGGTCAGAGGCCTACCTAGCCAGTTGGTCAGTGGACCACCTAGCCAATTGATTACTTCTTCACCTCCCCACGTGTGCTCATCACCTCCGACGCGAACTGCAGCTGAAGTGAAGAAGCAATAGGTACGACCCGCAGTGGGGAGAAGTAGTGAATCACATCACGGGCAGGGCTAAGAGCTGCTACTACATGCCGTTTTTCCCCGCGCCATTCGCAACGTCATTCACACACACGCAAACACATAGGCACACATACACACATACACGCAGAAACACATGGTCGATTTGAGAAAGTCGAACTCTTCTGGGCCTGTGAACAAGAAGCAGGGGTCCATTCTGAGCTTCTTCAAGACACAGGATGCAAAGGACAAAAAGGCGACTGATGCAGGGGGGGAGGCGGCCAAAGAAAGCAAAAGCGATGCAGATAGGCATGGAGCCGAGCATCTCAGCGCGGCGATGAGCACGCTGGACAAATTTGCAGTCAATGTTGGGAAGAGACCGGAGGGGGGAAATGAATCAGAGCGAAGCTCCGAAACGGATATCAACGCAGTGAAGGACTCAACTGAGAATAAGCAGAATGGATGCACCCCGCGAAGCCCAGAAGCCAACCTGTTCTCCGATGAGAGCCAAGATGTGAACAGGAGCTCGGTTAAAAGCTCATTGGAAAAAAAAGAAATCGCAATGAAGGAGAGTTACGATAAGGAATATACAGACAACGCGGAATTGAGCACCGACGAAGACATCATCGTGAGGAAGAAGCGAAAGGTTATAATCGATTCGTCAAGTGAAGACGTATATGTCGAGTCTAATGGGAGAAGTGAAGATAATGGAATGAACCAAAAAAAGGAGATCCCCCCAGCAAATTCAGGGGTTGGCGTGGATGGGAAGTTAAGCAACCTCGTTTATGAGCCGAGTAAGAATATCACGACGGAGGAAACGTTATTCACCAAAGAGAAAAACACAAAGGAGATTATGAACATTCACCGTCGAAAGGAAGAAGATGGAAAGAAATCTCAAGAATTGGACACACTAAGGAATAGATTTCTAGGCCTGCCAATATGTCTGACGAATGATAAATTCAGACTGTACATAGAACATTACTTTCTCTATTGCAATACGTTTGAATTTCCTAAATGGATCCAACCAAAATACATCCGTGATCTGAATTTAAGGACCCCAGACAATCCGGATTATGACTGTTCAACTATTTGGACCCCCCCACCAGATCACCCCTGGGCGGTGGAGTACAAAAATGCTCATTACACCCCAGGGATGCAACAGTTTTGGAAAATAAAATCGAAAAATTTCGATAAGATAATATTTTTTAAGATGGGAAGATTTTATGAAATATTCTACATCGATGCTTGTCTGATGCATACCATTTGTGGATTGAATTGGATGGGTGGGGAACAGAAACCTCACTTGGGATTTCCAGAGCAATCTATTCATCTGTATGCGAAGAGGGTTATCAACAGTGGGCACAAGGTGGTCGTAATTGAACAAATGGAGACCCCTAAAGAATTGGAGCAACGCAATAAAGAAACCAGCGGTCCGAAGGATAAAGCTATTAAGAGGGAGATTAATGAAATTTTTACAAAGGGGACCATTCTTCATGATAATATGCTCAGTTCAGAGACAAGGTACTTGGTTTGCTTTCACTTTGACGATATAGAAGATTTCGATGACCAAGTGGTGGATTCTGCCAATACGGGGGTAAGCAATCTCGCAGTTTCCTCATCTGACAATAACGACCGTTCAATGAAGAGCAAATGCAATTTCGGCTTCGTCGTGAGCGACATCGCCACATCGTACATCGCTGTAGGGTATTGTAACGACGATGAGTCACGTATCGAACTGAGGACAATCCTGGCGCAGCTATGCCCGGCGGAGATTCTCTATGCTTCCAAAAACATCAATAAGGAGGTGCTGTCTATCTTCAAAAATATGGCAGCCGAACCAGAACTGACCGCTGTGAGTTCCTTTCCTAATATCATTGCCTCTTTAGATGAGATAAGGAAATATTTTGAGACCATGCCCCCAAGTTTAGAAATGCATAAAGAAGAAAACAGTGTGATCTGTGCATTTGGTGGGTTCATCGTTTATCTGAGGTCACTTCTACTCGACAAGAAGATCTTTTCCTTCTGCAAAATTGAGCATTATGATCTTTTTAAGAAAGAAAATTATATGGTTCTAGATGCAACGGCATTGAAACATTTAGAAATATTGGAAACACAATCCGGGGAAACGAAAAATTCTCTTTTCGATTATGTGAACAAAACGTGCACTAATTTTGGAGCGAGGAATATGAGGCGATGGATCTGCAGCCCACTGCTCGACTGCACCAAGATAAATGAGCGACTGGACGTGGTAATGTTTTTAAAAAAAAACGAGCATATCTTATCCCTGATCCGATTGAAGTTGAAGAAGCTACCCGACATAGAAAGACTGCTGAACAAAATCTGTATTCAAGCTTCTCAGAGCGAACGAGGAGCTGTCTTTTTCGATAACATAGTTAGCACAAAGCTGAGAGAATTCATGACCTTCCTAGACGCCTTCAAAGAAATCGGAAGTATGCTAATCGAAATTAACACCATTGAAAGAGACGAAGAGGAGTTACCCAAGAGGCTCTTTGAAATCAGTAACACCCCAGATAGGAACAGTGCTGCGAAGAATGTGCAAGGGAGCTACCCAAACATAGAGCAGATAACCTTGGAGTTTTTAGAAAAAATTGAATTCGATGGAGACAAGGAATATAAGCCAGCAGAAGGGTCCGACGAAGCCATTGATCTTATTAATAACAAAGAGAAGGAAGTGGAAGGTGAACTCAACAATATCTTAACAGGCTTGAAAAGGAGCTTGAAAATTCCCTCACTCAAATATGTTCATGCGAAATATAAGTACGAGGTGGAGTGCCCGGAGAATGTGCCCAAAACGTTTCTGAAGCATGTCGAGATCACTTCGGCTAAGAAAGGGTTCATTCGATTTCAAAATGATAAAATAAAGCAATGCGTTGAGATGCTGGAAGATATAGAGCAGGAAAAGAAGGACGCCATTTATCCCTTCTTTAAGAAGATGTTTCACTTGTTCTATGCTCATTATGACAAATACGTCTCTGCGTGCAGACTGGTGTCCGAGCTGGACTGCTTGCAGGCCTTTGCCTTCGTGGCGCTCAACACACCCTTTTCCCTCACGCGCCCGATTCTGCACCCGATGAGGCGAAGCGAAAACGACCAGGATGGTAGCAACAACACAGGAGAGATCAGCCAAAGCAGTAGGAGCGATCTAAGCGGAGTGAAAGGCAACGCGCCGACCCACGAGAACCAGCCCTTCCTCATCCTCGAAAATAATATTCACCCCGTGGTGGCTACCCTCATGCCCAACTTTATCTCGAATAACATATACATGGGGTGCAAACAGGAGAATCAGTCTACGCTCCTGCTGACGGGTCCCAATATGGGAGGAAAGAGCACTCTCCTAAGGCAGACAGCCATTTCCGTGATTCTAGCCCAAATAGGAGCCTTGGTGCCATCCACCTACTGCGAACTGACTGTAGTAGACAAAATTTTTACTCGACTAGGATCTAGTGATAATCTTTTCGAAGGGAAAAGTACCTTCCTCGTTGAGCTGGAAGATATTTCTAACATGTTAAAGCAGAGCACAAAATACAGTTTAGCCATTCTGGACGAACTGGGAAGAGGAACTTCTTCCTTTGACGGCACCGCCATTGCCCTTTCGACTCTAGAACAAATTTCAGACGTGGTCAAATGCAGGTGCATATTCTCCACCCATTACCATCTTCTAGTAGAGGAAGTCAAACATAACACAAAAATCTCAAACTATCACATGAGCCTAAGCATAGACGACCATCAGGAGAAAATCATTTTCTTGTATAAATTTATTAAGGGAGTCTGTCCCAAGTCCTTTGGCATTCACATTGCTAAGTTAGCTGGCCTCCCCAAAGAAATCATCGATTTAGCGCATGAGAAGTCTACCCTCTTTGAGAACGTAACGGATGAATTCTGCAAAATCATAAAGTATAAGAATATTATGCGCTCCCTGCTCAGTGCCCCCGATGGGGAAAATCTGGCTGCCCTCTTCCGCAGGTACCGAGCCGAGTTCGCCTCCTGAGTGGGAAGAAGTGGGTAGCACACATTAGAAGTGAGCGAAACGGATGATACGCGGCCGACACATCAGTTTGCCTCTTCGTGCGCCCGTCCCCCCATTGTTGCACCTAGACAAATTGGCGTCGCCACCAAAACAGAGGGAGTCGCGGCGGTGTACAAACACCCCCTTGGCTTATCAGCTGCACCTGTCGCAGCGCCGAACGATGTACCTTATTATCATATGGGAACTACCCCCACCTGCGAGATTATCTTTCTCGGCCACTACCTCTTTCTCACTGCGGGAGTGCCTCCAGGTTATATCATCACACGTTTGCACCCCGGATTGAACGCTTTAATAGGTTTTTTTTTTCTTCTTTTATTTCCCTCCATGGTGGTAACTTCCTCGTAGTAGCCACGACTAAATGGGAACGGACACCCTGGGGCGTGCTCAAATTTGAGAAAGAAAAACGCCCAAAGGGTCTCCCTCCTTTTTAAAACTCCATTTTGAAGAAGACTACATTTTAAGGCAGCCAATTTTAAGGCACCCCATTTTAAGGCACCCCATTTTAAGGTATCCCATTTTAACGTACCCCTTTTTGAAGGGCTCTTCCACTTCACGTTCACACCTGGCCGCTGATCTCTTCTCCGCTGCGCATTGCTCTGCAATGGCAATCGGTTCGCCTTCCACCCCGTGTGTGGGGGATGTGCCGCGTTTTCTTCCATGAGGGGGGCACTCTTTAGGGGGAAATAAACCAACCCGTTCCTTCGACTGCGCTTTTCATGTTCGTAATAACCCTCTCCCTGCTGAACGATCTGAAAAAGCCCCTCCTTGCAACTGCCCATTAAAGGCACCCCTCCGCTGGGTTATATGTGCCCTGAGGGGGGGGAAGTAACCCAATAGAAGAGTAACCACTTGGCCATCTTGCGGAGGATAGGAAAAGCACACTGGTGTTATAATTCTACTGCGCGGTGCAAACGTGTTGGCGGGTAGCGGTTGGAGGGTGCATAGCGAGGCAGAGAAAATACACGCTAGGCGAATTTTTTTTTTTCTTTTTTTTTTTTTCTTGCAACTTGACGCGTTTTTGTAAAGGAGCCCCCGTGCCCCTTCCGAACGCGCCATTTGTGAACGCCCACTCGTTAGCGAATCATGGCGAGGAGAAGATACAGATGGTGCAAGGAAAGAACTCATATATTTTGAAGGTCTACCCCGCTTCCGCTTCTTCTGCTTCTTATTGTGCTTCTCTTTCTTCTTCTTCTTCCCCCCCGTGAATGGCAACCGAAGGGAGTGCTCACTCTGCCTGGTTGCGGGGTGAGCATTAACTTTTCTCTGTGTGTCCTTACGCCTTCTGAGCGTGCCAGAGCAGCAGGGCTTAAACATGGGTGCCGGCGCAGTGCTCACTCTGCTGTTCTGCATGTACGCAACAGGGCTGATTGGCGAACGGGTAAGCGGGGTGTTCGCAAGGGAGAAGGCGAAATTGTTGAAGATGGGCAGGTTGGAAAGGGGGCCCCACTCTTCATTACGTATTGGAATGACGAAAGAAGGATTCATCAGATGGTCTGTTGTAGGAAAAGGGAGGAAGAATCGACACGACAGGGGGGACTTCACCCAAGGGAGTAACCATACAAGCCCTCGGGAGACGTCCCTTTTTTTCAGTGAATACCCAGAGGGATTTTCCTCGTCCTGCTTGTGGGTCAATGCGCATGGGGGGATCACTCCAAAGGGGGTCCAAAAGAGAAGTGAGATGAGCATGACAGGAAGGGTGTATCGAAATAGGGGGATGAATCTGATCCGCCAAATGAAGGGAAACAGATCTGGTTGTTTTCAACTTGGAGCAAAAATGCCAGTCATCACGGTGAATAGGAAGCTATTCCCGAAGGAGTACAGCACAGACTACGAAGATGTCCTGCGCAAGTTCAACGTAACTTACATCAATTACAAGACGAGATTGAGGAGTAAAGCAGAAATAGACATACGAGCTATTGATGACTTGTATGGGAAAATATATGACAGCAACGTGTTGAAGAAGCAGTTCTATTTTTTCCTTTACCACGATGACATAAACACGTGTCATCGAATTTTAAATGAAAATAGAAACGTCCTAACGAGGGAGGAGTCGTTTCAAATGCTAAACAGCTTGCCCTATATATTTTTCAATCATCTGAGTTATGTGTACCCCACGGAAGACAATGTGGATCTCGTACTCTCCAAGATCTTGAAGACGTACCTCTTCCAGTATTCCAATGACAAGAACATTGATTTTTTGAACTTCAAATATAAGTATAACGAGTTGGATGAATACTGCCAGGGGTTGGAGAGGGACTTCCTCGCCAGCCAGCCCGTGGAGGATAGCGGCGGGGAGGTTAGCGACGGGGAAGAACCACACATGCCAGATCGCAGCGGGGAAGATACCACCCCCACTGACGCCAAGAGGGCAGCCATCTACGACGACGGGCGCGACACCAACTACGAGCGAAAATACAGACACATGTCTTACGACTACAAAATTATCGAATCGACCAGCAAGTATAAGGACCTCATGGCGAGATTCGCAAAGTACCCAAAGAACATCAAACTTCAGAAGGTACAACTGCTGTACACAAAAATAATCAGCATGAAGGCAAACAAGCTGTTTGAGGCATTTAGGAAACACGAAAGTGTGAAGAGAAACGAAGAGAGGAAAATCTACAGGAATGCAAAAATGACCTTAGACCCTGAAAAACTTACCCCTTGTCTAAATGAACCGGTGAAGTATGACCCCAAGGAAAAACAAAGAGTGAATGAGCTCTTTCATAAGTATGTACAGGAGAAAGATCTAACCAAAGCTGCTCTCATCATAAGAAAACACACCAACCTGATTGATACTAAGGATAAGAAGAGCCAACAAATAATGAAAGAGTTTCTTCGTCTACACGAATATATATACAAATGCAACAAGTACAATGAAGAGGAACTGGCTCACTTGAGGATGATTTACTATTCCACGGTACAGAAGCCGAGAGTCATCCGAAAAATATGCGAAGTTGGTATGTGGGAACAAGGAGAAAACACTACTCATAAGGAGGTGTACGAAAGGCAACTAAATGAGTATTTGCAGAAGAGGGAAGCTCTACGTGATGAGAGAATGAAGAAGAAGGGTATCGATATGGATGAAATACGAGACTTCAGTTCGGCGTACCCTATGGAATGGTTGCCTGTCCTCTACAAAGATATGTTTGAGGAGATCGAACGGGAAAAGAAATTAAAAAGTCTCGAGCGGAAAGGTGTCCTTAGCAAGAAGAGTGACTCCATCAAGCGGTTGTTTTCCCCCGGGGGGGCCGATAGGGCTCCTGGCGACGCCTCTCCGGGGATGCCACCGCAAGAGCGGTTGAGAAGCGAAGACATGACGCAGGGTCAGCACAGGAGTAAGGACCTCACGCACGATCTTCTGAATGTGAAGAACGAACTCAAGTTTGGCCGCAACGTCTTGAATTACAAGAAGAAAATTTTGGGCAAGAACAGGCGCAAGCGGGCCGGGGCCTCCAAAGGGGGCGCGCCTGGAGCAGGAGGGAAGCCTGCCAAGGGCAGCGGGGACTCGACCGAGGAGGATTCGTAATATGGCCACGGAGGCGGATTTGTATTATGTCTACCGAGGCGGATTTGTATCATTTCCACCGCGCCGTCTCCTACCGAGCGCATGTACCGTGTATATGACCCCTTTTCGCTCCTCCGTGTGCACAACGAAGGAAATTTTGTACACAACCGTGTTGGGGAATCTACAGCCGCGTGGCCAATCGCCTACCCCAATGATTCCCTTTAAAAAAAAAGATTAAAACTCTTAATCCGTAAGTTAATTAAAAAGACGTGTACAAATGTGAATCCTCGTCGGGGACCAAATGGGAAGACGAGGGGCGTACGGAGCGGCGCCGTGTGCTCCTCTGGGGGGTGAAAAAAAAATGACAAAATGGGAGAGGCGGTTGCGCGAGCAAGGGGCAGGTACGCGCATGTCCGCTTGCACGCCGCTCCCCCTGTGCCCCCCCGCTACATGCATCCTCTGAAGTAAAAGAACAAAGAGAAAGAAACAAACACAAGCGAAATGAAGTAATTCATCGTAAAGCGAAAATCTTTAAAATAAATGGAGGATATGTATGTATTTAATAACAAACTAATTGGAGTGACAAAGAAGCGGGAAAAGCTCCCCACGTGTTTGATAAAAACAGACGTTATGATCCCGCCGACGCTGTTTAGGATTATCAGCAAGGCAACGTATAGGAATTCCCTTACCGAGTTAAAATGAGTGGAAGGAAGAAGAGTCACTCCGTTTGGTAGAGGCCCGTCATCTGGTTGTCCCTCCCCGTGGCGGGGTGCACCCGTGGGACGGTGCTCTTCCCTCGCGGCGTTTACCTTCACGACTTCTTCCTTCGAGGCGTTTGCCTCTATGACTTCTCCCTTTGGGGCTTCCCCCCCTCGAGGTAACCTCCTAAACACTGATGATATGTCCAAGTGCCTGGTGGAGAGGCTCAGAATGATTGTGAAAAAGGCCAGGAACATATTCTGAAACCAGAAGGAGTATCTATAGTTGAGGTAGAGTGACTCGAGGAAGACGCAGGAAAACCCACTGGTGAAGGTTGCCAAAAAGGTTGTCAGGACACCTGTTATGATGTTATTTTGTGTATTTTTCTTCGGCGTCACCGTATTACCGGGCGGGTACTTATGATGGCAGGGGTGCCCATGTGAAGGGGTAGCATCCCTCGGTGTAGTCCCGACCTTACATGCTTCTACGTCAGTTATCGACCCATCTGTCGAGATTCTCTTCGAATGATTTACTACATCGTAGGAAATTCTCTTGGGGTCAGGGTGAGACACGGACTGGGGGCACGAAGTTCTGTTCAGCATATTTAGGAAGACTTCCCTTTTTTTTAATGCTCTCCAAAGGGTAGAGAAAACGAATGGGGTGTTCCTATTTAGAGACTTCGCCTTCATGTTGTAAAGCAGAATTGCCTTGAGGTCCTTCACGTCGTTGTCTTCTAAAGGGAAAACGTTCCAGAATCGCTCGGTGTGTGCGTGGATCAGTTTACCCCTACTGGGTGCATTTCTGATACCCCAATTATGCGCGTCCTTCCCCAGGTTGTAATCCTTCAGACACACCAGCGAAAGGAACAGGAAGACAATCGAAATGAGCTGCGACATTTTTATTCTCCTCTTCAAAAGAATATAAGTAAAAAGGACCACTACGAGGATCCTAAACTGGTATAGCAGTTGGAATAAGGGGATGGGAATACTCGACATGGAGACATAAAAAAATATGTTCTGAAAGTAGTACATGATGGTGGGCACGGTTAGGGAGATGACGTAACTCCTCTTCTTGGTCAATACATCAGTGATGTTTTCTCGCACCCAAGTTAGATTGAATTTATTCTCGTGCAGATAGAGGAAGCTGGAGATAATCAATTTTATTACTTCTGTGATGAAAATGATACTCTCTTCCTTCAGTTTGTATTTTAACTTTTCCATCTTCATCGTTTTTATAGTCACATAGATGAGCAATGTGTGTATTATCAGTACTACGAAGAGGGTTACCTTAATGAGGGTGTTTTCCACTGGGGGGAAGCTCGTCTCTTCGCTGGCCGCGGCGTTCGTGCTGGCCGTGGCGTCTGTTTTTGTCGTGTCATTGGTGTTTTCCTTTGCATTTGCCGCCCCATTTGCCGCCCCATTTGCCGCCCCATTTGCCGCTTTATTTACCCCTTGATCCCCACTCCTGTACTGCAATCTGTGCCGCAGTGCCGATTGCGCTCCCTCCATTTTTTGTACCCCCATATAGCGCGAAAGGAGCTGGGGCGGACATGAGCGATTAGCCGTTTGTCTCTTTCTTTTAAGGGTCCATGTGGCGTTTCAAAAGGGGAGGTACACATGTAGAGGGGGGAGAATAAGGCAGATCGGGGTTCGGTCAACGGGCTCTGGTCTTTATCTAACATGTCGCTCGGCGGTCTGGAAGCTTCCTCACGATGGGACTGTCTCCCCATGGAACGCTCTCATCCTGGGGCTTTCTCACCTGGCCCCGTGATCACCCCCTCTATATACGTTTATTCACTCATCCGCAGAGCGCAATCTGGACTCGCTGACAAAAAGAGCAGTAGATAACGCGAAAAAGGGGGAACTTCCCAGGTGGTCAAAGAAGCTAGCTCACCCGTTCTCCGATCCCCGCTTACTACTCACCGCTCTTTTGTTCACTCCTCTCAAGTTGGTAACTGTTATTTTAAGTTTAGTCAACACGGCCATTGCGTCAAAGCCTAAGAGGAAGTCACAACTTAATAGCGAAAAAAAAAAAACAGAAAACAACAGAAGAAGAAGAAGGCACTATCCGTTTAACGGGACAAAGTAAAAAATAATATGCCACATGTAACCTCACATCTGGAAGCATAATGATGTAGATATAACTTTGGACGTGGGAGGGGAAAAAGGAATCAACGGTGACAACTTTTCCCCTCTCAACCGACTATCTAAAAAAAAAAAAAACATGAAAGCCAAATTGGTTAAATATTATGAATGATTATTACGTATATATATGTGCTTTTTTGGCGGAAAAAAAAAAAAATTCCCTCATCTGCGGACTGTTCGTTAAGAACATGTCGGTTCTCATCATAAAGACTATCCCTTTACTTAGGTTAAAAAAAACGAACAAACAAACGTATGCGCGGAGGTGTACGCTACTCGAAGGGGCCTCCTTTAACGAAGGTCCAAGAAAAACGACCGAGGCAACGTGGCAACGATGCAGAAGAACGGCTTGGGTTTCCACTCCCAGGGCACTCTTGTCTTCCCCCCACTCCGCAGCGTGTTATAAATTTTTTTGCAACCTTTCCTGCAAATTCCTCCACGCGCAGGCAACTACACTACGCAGATGTGTGAACATGTGTATCTGTAGACATAGAACTGCACAGCTATACATAACACACGCGCGTGACCTTCTGGGTGAACTCTCTCTGCCGCTTCCTCTTCGCAAAAGCAGTAGCTTACCATATTTGTTCGTTTCGCTCGCTCCTTTTCTCTGCTCGTATGTTCGTTCAACGTTGCGCGGGTTTGCCCCATTCGTTTCATTACTGCTGTTTGTGCGCTTTATTCGTTGCTACTTTTTGTTGATTCATCTTTCTTTTTTTCTTTACTTCTTTTCTTTTTGCACATTTTTTTCTTTTTCTCTTTTTACGTATTTTTACTTTTTCTCTTTTAAAGCATTTTTATTTTTTCATGTTTTTTCTCATTTAAAAGACGCACAAGGGGTATTCACAAAAAATTTCGATAAATGCGGAAACAAAAAAAGGGGGGTGCAAAAATCCAAGGAAGGGGGGAGCTCCGCGACGACGCACAGGTGGGGAATGAAGTGGGGAGCGGGGATGAGGAAGCAGAAAAGGGAATACGTGAAACGGGAGGTATAAAAAAGCGAAAAAAAGGCAGGTGTGGACGCACAAACGGAATGGAGCAGCACAGGGGCGCAAAAACGCTGGTGTGCATTTCGCGCGTTCGCTTGCTCCCCGCACGGATTATCAGCTCATCATATTTTTCCCTTGGATATTCCCTCCGCGCAGTCACAAAAAAAGAGTAGAAAAAGGGGTCACAAAAACGGGGTACAAAAAACGGATAAAAATGAACGTTAAAAATGAACATTAAAAATGAACTTTGAACGGGGAGATGGTGGGACCCCCACAGGGGGGCCGCGTAACAAAGGGACGCTGCACAAACGGCTCCTGACGAGGCGCCCAACTTTATGGAAACGTAGCAAATTACTTTAAAAATCAGCAACGTGACGTCCCCATCCCTCCCTCCTTCACCTGAAAAAGCACATATCGCTGCTGAGAAGAACGTGCACATATGTAACGAAAAAAAAAACAGAGAAAAAATCTGGTAACACTTTCATCCTAAAATACGCATCAGGGTGCGTGTTGCATGGGAGGAAGCAGCCACACGGGGAAGTATCAACCTTCTGTGGCCACACCTTCTGTGGCCACACCTTCTGTGGCCACCCCCCCCTGGCTAGCACTTCCGGTTGACGATGTCCAGACCGAACTCCTCGTACTCCTTCCGCGTAACAAAAAAGGAGTTGAAATTTTTGAAAGAAGACAGGATGCTACCACCCTTCCAAGAAGAATACTGCTTGTCGTACTTCCCATGGCTAAGCACCTGGAAGTCTCGTAAATTGGAGTTATTAAGAATGTCCAGCTGATTGAATTCTTTAATAAATCTCTGATTAAAATTATCAAACAGAGTTGACGAGCCAGTCAAGATGACGTTTCGTAGCAACTCTTCCTTCTTCTTTACGCTGTTGCTATTAAGCATATTAAACAGAGTGGTGGAGACTCCTTCGAATTGTTCTTCCTTGAAAAATAGATTGTTCAGATGATGATTCAGCTTTGTGTTACTTAATAACGATGGAGTAAAAAATATCTCACATGCTATATTATTAAATTTGGTAATGTTAATATTTTGCCCATCAGGCAAAATGTATATATCTAAATTTTGATTGAAATTCATATTCTTTGCGTCATGAATTTGATTTTCCGTATGAGCTACTTCACATAGATAGCTTTTTAAATCCTTCAGAGGAATATACTTGGCTTTGTTGTAGTAATCCAGGTGAATCTTCTCCCTATTGTAATTAGGAAGGGTCCCATTTTGCTTAACAAACTCGTAATATGGGATGCAATATTCCTTGTTGTGTTTTTGTATAAGCTCTTCGAGGAAGAAATCGATGGTGGAACCTCCTATATTGTAAATTTTGTAATTTTTATCTTCTATGCTTCCATCATTGCAAAGGGAGAAATCGGTGTAGCAAGATCCTATGTCCACTACGGAACAGACATTCTTGTTGTAGGCAAATCCAGTTAATACTGACTTGGAGTTGAAATACAGGGCGGGTACTTTGTACTTCTCAAATAACAGCTGTGATATTTTGTCTTTTATCTGTTTATTTCTTTTATTGGGGAGTGAGAAGAGGTATGGGAACTTTTCCATGTTCTCACTCAGCCCACAGCTAATATTGCTGTGATTATTTATCATGCTCCTTATGACATTCATATCTATCAGCTTATTTTCGATTAGGTTTATGTCAAAGTAGTTGTTTTCTTCCGCCCATTCCTTCAGTGTTTTTAGCTCCTTCGATTTGGAGCCCTCCTTTTGGGGGGTCCCATCTGTATCTTCCCCACCACCTCGTTGGAGTAATTGCGATTTCTGCGATTGCTGTTCTGCTTCTTCGCTGTCTTGGTGCTCCTCCTTCTGCAGATCCGCACCCGATTCGGCGCCTACTTCGTTATGCTCACCGCCGTGCGGGGCCCCCGCGGCGTCTATAGCGTCGTCTATCGCGTCACCTTCGTGGGGCCCTTCTGGTGCCACGTGTACTACGCCTCCCTTATCGACGAACTCGCTGGACATATCGCTCTGCTTGTGCAGCTTGTTGCCTATGAACCCCTTGACCCTCTCCTGCAACATCTTGTAGACCCACCGACCCCCGTTCACATTCATAAAGAGGATTTTTTCGAACACATCTTCGTTGACATCAAAGTGGTTCCTGTTGTCCAGGTAGAGACAAGGCTTCACCTTGGCGTCCTCCAGCGCCTCCAAAAAGCACAGGGGGTAAATAAGATTAAACTGGTAAAACTCTCCCTTTGTGCAAAGGCATTTCTTATAAATTTCGTTTTTAATTTTGGCTTCCAAATCCAGTGGTACTCCCACATTTGAGCTAAATATGTGCGTTGGGTTCTCGTCCCCCGAGTAGCCGATTTTGGTGTTTTCGAAGCCCAGGTCTACTACGATGCTCAGGATGTCGCTGTAGGAATCCATCGGGCGCGCGGGTGCGTAGGGCGATGCAGGCGTGCAGGAGGGTACGCGCGGAGGGCGCAGAGGTGACTGGAAGAGACAAGCTGGGCGTGGAAAAATGGGAGCAACAGAATGGGTGCGCAAGGAAGCACACGGCGAAGAAACAATCGAGAAACAAGCCGGCTGTCGAACGTGACTGCCCGTTTGCACCAAGAATCTGCAGAGAGACAGAATGGTACAGGCACAGGAAGGACGCAAGGGAAAGTAAAAATGCCAACAAAGGAAAAAACGTTTATATGCCCACACGGACTAGACACATGTACATACATACGTATACATACGCTAGAGGGGATCCTGCCGCACGTGCCATTACGCGAGCATGCAGATACGCATGTGTGAGCGCCGAAAATGATTCGAACCGATGAACTGGTACACACACACAGGCAGCAAAGTAAAAAAAAAAAATAGGCATAAAAGCACACGCATGAAGGAAAGCACCAAAATGGTGAAGGGCAAAAAAGTAAAACTGCAAAACAGGGAAACAGAAAAACGGCAAAACAGGAAAACAGCAGAACAGCAAAACAGCAAAAACGCATAAGCGTTGGTAAAAGAAAAAAAAATAAAGCGAATACAGATGCAAGAAATGTTTTCCACGAAGGGGGGCAAAATTAAAAGAGTTAGGAATGCTTCATTCTAAAAAGAAACTGACCATGTTTGTTGTTCCCGCGCTACCAACCCGTTTTTTGGATCGTGTTTCCCTAAGTGGCAGTGGCGTATTCAGAAAGGTGTACGCATTATATGCATGCAAGCATTAACACCCATGGTGCGCGTAAGCGTACATCTACCGCCCGCGCATGTGCATCGCATGCGAGCGAACAGAACGCAAAAAAAAAAAAAAAAAACGCGTACAGGTACGCAAAAGTGAGCGTGAACAGAAGTGGAAACATGAACTCGGCGCGGACACAAGCTGAATACATTTGTACTCATATGTGAGCATTTGCATATCATCTTTTTTTTTTTTCGCATTCGCATTGGCCGCTACTCGCGAGGACACAAATTTCGCCACTTTTATAGCGCGTTCTGAGGGGGTTGACCCCATGGGTATGAACGCGATGTGGATGCCTAGATGACAGGAAGTGCGGACGGGTACAACGAGAGGCTCCCCATATGCACGTGATTATGTGTAGGTACTGCATACCCAAGTTCATATGAGCGTATTTCTTTTGTTTTCTTTATTTTGTTCTGTTTTATTTCGCTTTATTTGGCTTAATTTTTTTTTTTCCCCTTTTCTTGCGGTGCAGATTTTTCCGCGCCCACCCTACTGGCCAAACCTGCGGAGTAAACCGCCGCCATCAGATGAGGCGGGTATCGTGAACCCGGTCCATTCGTAAGAGCAGTCGCCCAGGTGAAAACATTTCTTTTTCACCCCCACCCCTGTTAAGTGTAAGAATAATTCCATTTAAAAAAAATCAGTTTGTGTTATTTGACTGTCAAAAAGGGAAGAAGCGTGTATTAACTCGGTAGCCTGCCCTGTGCAGGGTTAACCGCGTGATTGTGTCAGTTGTGTTCAAAAAGGAAAAAAAAAAATATATATATAGACATATATATATAAATGTACCAATAAATAAATGATTAAACACACGAAACGGGGAGGCTCGGCCAAATGGGCGCCACACCGCTCAACTGAAAAGGTTATCACAAAAAAAGCACCTCCGACTGGTGGAGGCGTACCTCGCCACAAATGGGCAGTCTGACGCACGCGGGTAGGCATACGCACAAAAATACGGATAGGAATACTCACAGACATAGGGGGACAGACATACACACAGGCATAGGCACAGACATGCGCATACACAATTCACGCGGGGCGTATGCCCCATGGATGCCAGCCAAACGAAGGGGAAAAAACTTTCCCACACTGCCGGACATGACGAGTTTTTACCATCCTCACCGATGCACCTGCACAATTAATTGCTTAAGCGGCTGCACCATGAAGGTCTCATTGTTCATGTCGAAAATGACGTGAAATTTATTTATGTTGTAGATTCCTTCCCGAGTGAAGAGCACATTAAAATATACCTTTTTGCTTTGTCCCTTTTTCAATCTTTTTACATACCGTTGGACAATTCCCATGAATAGGAAGCCGCTTAATGAAAGGGCCCTTCTTCCTGTGGCTTCCTTCTTCGGGACATTTCCTAGTGGGAGGTTGCTGCCCAGTGGGGTGCATTGGTGGGCGTCTGTGCAGTCGTTGTTGTGCACATATGTGTTGTCCCTTACGGTTTGGTGGAACCTCCTGGTCATTTTATCCGTGCGGAGGTTTCTTTTTTCCATTGAATTGGCTGCCTCGAATATCACGTCCTGCTTGTCGATGTGCTTTCCGATGTGCTTCTCAACCTGCTTCACGTCGTGCCTATTGTCAGCCCCTTCGCCACCCCCTTCGCTGACAGGTTCGCTCTCCCCATGCACCTCATCGGGGAGACAGCCGGTTCCAAGTAACCGCGTCGACATGCTTACCTCAAAGTTACCATCCCATCGGTAGCTTGCGCTTATGGGGTTGTAATTGGACAAGTTGATTTTCCCCGTGACGCTGTTCTGTAAAATACTTATTTCGTCGTTAAGGGTGGACTGATAGGAGAAATGGGGGGCGACGGCCTGTCCTTTTGCTTCGTCCATGCTACCTTGGGGGAAGATCCCAGCGGATAGGTTGTTGTATTCCACCACCTGATCGATTTGGAATGGCCCCCCCTCATTTGCGCAGATGGGTATGCCCATATCCCCCCCGGCAGCGGCGTTCGCGTTGATACAACTTACGGAGGGGAGTTTCTTCTCGACCTCCTCCGACAGATCATTCTTGTGTGCGTATTCGGTCTGTCCTGGGAGTTCCTCCCCCCGATCGACACACATGATGGGAGCGTCCAATAAGGAATCTTCCACCATAGGGACGTCCAACATGGGGTCTTCCACCATGGGAACTTCCAACTCGTGTCCTTCTTCATCGCCGTAACAGTCCATGGAGAGGCCCGATTTCATGGAGTCCACCTCTTCAGCTTGCACATAAAAATTGGTAAGGTCTTCTCCTGAGTTGTTCTGAATGTTGATTGTTATTTGGAAAATTTGTTCCTTTTGTTTATTCAGGTAAATGTCTCTGTTGGTTTGGTCCACTGAGAGGGTTACTATATCGGTGGAGAAGTGGACTGCCTTTTTCATGGATCCCTTTCGGCTGTGTTTTCCATCCTTCACGACCCAGTTCATGTGGACAGCGATAGGGGCTGCATTCTGCGGGGAGTTTCGAGACACGTTCACTGCTAGGTTTGGAGGGGACTCCCTGGCGCAGAGAAGCACGGTGGATTTTTCTCCTTTCCTCAGGTACACAAAATCGGACGCGTGCACGGTAATCAATTTGGTGAAGCTTGGACTGGCTCGCACATCTGCACTTGTTTGAAGGGGACCCTTTTCACTGGTGTAGACGCCTGCACTTTTTTTTGCGGGGCCCTTTTCCCCGGCGAGAGAACGCGCCCCTTTCTCACGCTCCAAAAGTATGTTGTCCATGTAAATATCACTCCTGCACAAGTTGTGAATGAAGAAATAAATGAAGGAATTTGGACCATGGCAGGGGTTAAGGAGGTATGTACTTAGCTTGACCAACGGAACGACATGCAGCAGTCTTAGAAATAAAAAACATTTTTCCTTCTTGTCGACAAACATTTCTGGATAACTTAGGCAACTCTCTTTTTTCTTCTTCATGTTCGTGTCATCTGCCACTTTGATTTCTTCATTTTTCTCTTTGCACAAAGCTGTTATCATACATTTGTGCATCCCCGTACAGTTCGATTTTACCTGAACGTGCAGGTAGAAAACGTCATTTGGGGAGATATCTCCACTGATCTTTATGTGCTGAATTTGTTTGTTTTTAAATTTTTGCCTAAATACATTGGTGTCTTCACGTAGTGCCTCTTCACAATAGAGGTCGGAAACTATGGAGAGGAGTTTCCTCCTTGAGTTAGGTTCATTTTGGTGAATTTTTTCCCCCTCCTCAGGCTGAGCATTCTTCTCGTGGGGGAACCCCCCTCTACAAGTGTCTTCCTTCTTTTCCTTCTCATGGTGCGACATAAGATGCACATTTGGAGGTTCCCCAAGTAGGTACTCTTCTTCGTTATGTACTACCTTATAGCAGTTAAAAAGGCTAGATGGGGTTATGCAAAAAGTTAGGTAGTTCACTGGCATGACTGAGTGGTTAACGGCTTTTAGGACCATCTCGAACTCTTCACCTTCGAGAAGCTCAACAAAATCGACTTCGTAGTTGCTGACGTTTCTTTTCTCCCCCGAACGGATGTTTTCAAATTGGAAGGAGAAATGATATGTGTTGTCGTAGACGTAGAAGAGAAGTCTGTTGTCTACGTCGTAGTATTTCATTTTGTCTGCACTGTTCCCTTCTGGCATTCCTATGTTGCTAGACCACGTGTATGAGTTAATTTCCTTGTTGAGCCTCTTTACACTTTGCTTCTTCTCTTCCTTGCCATCGCAGTTGTACACTTCGTCGTACTTGATGGTGTGTATGCGGTCGAACTTTTTGTTTAACTTCTTCATGCCGTATGTGAAGAAGTTTTGGTGCACCTTGACGAGGCCGAATAGGTGCCACGTTATTCCTAAGTAGGGTGGAAGGGGGCGAGAGAAGTGCAACAAGGGAGTGAGAAGTGCGACAAGGGAATGAGTATTGCGACAAGGGAGTGAGAAGTACGACAAATGGAATGAGTATTGCGACAAGGGAGTGAGAAGTACGACAAATGGAATGAGTAGTGCGAAAAATGGAATGAGTAGTGCAACGAAGCGATTCAGTAGTCCGACGAAGGGATCGCAAAGTACCGTGCGTGGCATGGGGAGCCATAAGCGACTGCGCCAATCTTAGTAATGCAGGACGGTCGCTTTTTTAAACGGACCCCCTTCCTCTCGCTCTTACCCGAAATGAAGAGCAAACCCCTTTTCTTCGGGCGCAGGAATAGCGTGAAGACTCTGGTTTCCCTGGCCTCTAAAATTATTACCCTCTTCTCAACCTCGATGTCGCTATTCATGCTTCCGTTATAGTAGTGCGCACAGATGTGAGCGCCCTGGCATTCCACCTTGGTGTGCAGAGGATTCACCAACTTAAAAGTCACAAATATGAATTCCCCCTTGGAAGCGTACTGAACAAACTTGTTGTTCACAATAGTTTCCTCCTTGGCTGTGGATCTCTGATATATATTCTTCCCCCTTACAGACTGCATGAGGGGGAGGCAGTTGGTAAATTTTGCCTTCAATTCGTGGATGTACGTGGTGAAGCATTCTTTACTGCTTGAAGTTACGAATGGAGTCATGTTGATCGACTTGATGGGTGCGTGTCGTGCAGTGCACGGGGAGTTGTTCTTATCCGAGTTCCCTTGGGTAGAGGTAGCCCCCGTGGGAGAGGCACCCTCAGTGGAAGACCCACCCTGACCTTCCGCACCGTCAGAAATGGAAAACTCAGCTGAAGAACACTCAATGCAATCGTTGAAGACACAATTTATAAACTTCTTATATGTGACGTGGAGGTAATTCAGCTCGTGGAGATTGGATGGCGATAAATCTCTAAATTCCTTCGCCATGATGGTGAACAGGTCATCAAGTGTCGTGTCGTACTTGTTCATTTTGAAGAGGCAATCCTTGATGATATTGAAGAAGTTCGTTTCGATTCTTCTTTGGTACGTATAGATGTTCGTTTTGCTGACATAGACGGAGTTTAGGAAGCATCCTTCGTCGTCCCTTATGTGCAGGAGGGGGATTCGGAGGTTGAGGGGTTTTATTATGTTCTGCTCGTTGTCCTCCTGGAAGTACAGCATTCGGTTTGGCTTGTTTGGGGAAGAAGCGCGGTGGGATGAAGTTCCTTGGGATGACGTTCCTTGGGACACAGCTTCGTTTGGTTCTCCCGCCGAATCCCCCATCGTATCCATTTGCTTACCCCCGTGCGTCCCTCGCTGGGCACCCCGATCCCGCAGCCGCCTGAAGAATCTGCTCAAAACTCGGTCGACATAAATTTTGTACACATAGGCGAACTCCCTAATGAAGTTAATCTCCTTGTCTGGCGATGCGCAGTAAATGTCCACGTGTCCGTTTAGAACGTAGGACTGTTCGAAGCTCTTCGCGATGGAATTCAAAATGCAGATATAGTGATTCAGCGCCTCGTAGTACAAGTTGATACTGAATGCTTGCCGAGCCATCATAAAATGCAAGTGCTCATAAATGTGTTTCATTTTTTTCTTTTCATATTTCTTTAGAACCTTGGAGTAGCAAAAGAGGGCCAACTTCTTGAATCCACATTTGTTGAATGTGTGTCCTGCGAGGGTCATTTCGAATAGGTATTTCCTACACTTGTAATCGTTTTTTTTCTGCACAATTTGCTCATCTGGATCGTCTTGGAGGAGGGCATTTTCTACACTGCGGCTGCCTCGCTTCCCACTTTGGTGACTCTCCTCCTCCTCATAATCATCTGAGCTGGTCAACGTGTCGATGGTTTCTCTTCGCTGGTGGGGGTCCTCCCTTTTGTTTTCGTTTCCTTCGTCGTGGTGCCCATTATAACTTTGTCCAAACGGGGGGTGAAGCGGTTGATCCTCCCCGGATGTTATATTACCTTCACTTAGAATCTTCTGTGCGTGTTCACCTTGCCCGTTCAGGTGGTGCTCTCCCATGGTAGTGATGCCCCGTTTAGCGCCCTCCTCCACATCAGGACCTTCACTCCTATGAACTGAATTGCTGGCTTGCTCATTTGCTAGAGTGAAGCTTGCCAATGCCGCCTGACGGGGCTGTCCAGCTTTTTTTTTTTTTTTTTTTCCTCTTCTTGTAACTGTAAGTTATTTGTTCTAGGAGGAGTCCAGACCTTATGTTGTTAATTTGGAAAGACAGCTTGGAGGGTCTCCTCCCCTCCCCCACGGGTCTGCTCTCCTCAATGAGCTTCTCGTCCAGGTAGGTAAAATCCACATTGGCGTTTATCAAAATGTTCACCGATGCTTCGTTCTTCTCATCATGGATCAGAGATAAGTAGTAATTTAATATGGAGCATATAAACATGTAGTTGAGGTGCTGGCACTTTGAAAACATCTGGTAACTAAGGTCCAGGTAGTACAGAGAATCCTTCTTATTCACTTGACTCTCCATGTTGAAAATGGAAAGGCTCGTAAGTTTGTAAATATTGCCTAAGTAGAAATATGACTTGTCATGCTTAAATTCGTTGATGCAGATTTTTAGAGTGCCGTAGGCCAGTTCGTACTCTCCCAGGATGAAGTACACGTCGCTTAGCGTTTTGTACAGCTGCTCCAGGGGCTCCTTGTCGTAGTTCTTCGCCTCAACTGTGTTGGCCTGGTTACCCGTGTTAGCGGCGTTACCCATGTTGGCGGCATGACCCATGTTAGCTGTGTCAACCGTGTTGGGCGCGTCATTCGCTCCACTCGCGGCGAGCACGTCGGGGCCCTCCCCCATCTGCGCCAAATCCCCACTTGTGCTCCTTTGCACCGAGGCAGACTCGCTTGGAATGCTTTTCTGTTGATCCCCTCGAAGGACATCTTTCTCTTCCTCCTGTGTGTAGTTACCAGGGAGAGCGTTACTTCCATCTATCCCGTCCCTTCCACCTGTCGCGTCACTGCTCGATGCCAGTACATTCTGCGCGACATTGAGAAAAGCACTGCCTGTCTGTTCTGCCACCAACAAAGCAGCATCGGTTGAACTGAAATTCCACTTTGTTCTCTTCCACATGAATTTCAACTGATTTCGCAAGGTTTTTCGATTCCTCAAAATGAGGTGGTTGATGTCGTAGGTAATAGTACTGATGTAGGGAATCACACAAATCTGCACAAAATTATGAAAAAACATTTTTAGAGAGACAATGTCCACGTGATCGAGGCAGCAGCAGAAATAGGATTCGTCCAAATGTAAGGGGTCCTTCTTACTGATGTATATAGTTTCGTCCGACAAAATGTAATCATAAACGGAACTCATTTGATTGGAAAAGCTTCTTTTCACTTTTTTCATTTCCTCAATTTCGATGCTGCTTGTGGCTGCTTTTATTCCATCCTGAGTGGAGTCACTAAAATGGCTACCCAAGTTGTCGGCGTAGAGCTCCTGTATGCTGTTTAATCGCAGACGTTGGAGGTTATTCTTTTGTGCAGAGAACTTGTTTTTGTTCCTCCTTAGTGAGTTAATTTCCGTGTAGGACAATAAGCGTTCGTCCCCCAGGACGCTTTCCTTGGAGTAGAGCTGCTGGGTGGGGGTGCCATTCGCTTTAGCCTCTCCGTGTTGGTGAACGCTTTGTCTGTTCGGCCCATCTAAGGGGGGAGTTTTCTCTTCGTTGGGGTTACCCACCTGGGTTATTCCTCCTTTGGTCAGCTCATCATCAGAAGGGCGTCTCAAACTAGAGAGGGACTCAACACCGTCTTCTAAGTGATCCCCCTTATCCGTGTCCACCTCGCGCACAAATTTGACCCCTACTCCGATGCAGTTATCCAAAAATCGATGCGCCTTAATAATAAGCAAATGGCACTTGAAGTTGAGGAAGGTGGATTGAATTTTTACAAACAGCTTCTGAACATCAGTTTCTATGTCGTCATCGTGGTTGCTGGAGATGTGAAGGAGAATTATGCACTTGGGAATGTGTAGATGTATGTTGACGTTTTCCTTTTTTAGATCCTTCTGCATCATGCTTTTGTATGTATCGATTACGTTTTCGTCACTGGTGCTGCAGATATAGATGAGGCCTAGGGGGGTACACGAGCTGTCGCTAAACATGTGAGTGTACTTCCAGGCCGTCTTAAAGTAGGTCCTAAACCACGGAAGGAAGAAGGCGTTATATTTGTGCACATTGGATAGGGATTCTTTTCTCTCTGTGCAGTGTGGAAGTGGAGACGGAGCAGACGTAGCATATCCCGTGGGGGGGGAAGACATGGGGGTTCCTCCTCTATTTGGTTCTCCCACCCTTTCGCTGTACACACTGTTCGAGGGGAAGCCCCCCCCCGTGGGCTTCCTCAAAACTTCTTTCTTCACATCAGCTGCTAACGCATTTGAGTTGGCACATAAGTAGTTAAAATAGTCGTCACTCTGCTCGGTATTGTCCTGATTATTCTTCTCAAAATAGGCACTTAAGTTTCTTTCATTGTATATGTCGCTGTAATCCGGCTCATTATGAGAAATGGTGTCAATTAAGAGTCTATCCAAATAATCCAATTTCACATCTATGTATTCTTCAAGGCTAACAAATCGCAGCTTAATTTTCTGGTACTCAATTGTCTTCTGGCATATGACATTATTTTTGCTCAGGTAACTTATGCTTACAGCTCCACTTAGGGTTAGGTCCACTTCTTCATTTTTGTCATTCAGCAGGTGGTTGGAGCATCCGAATGGCTGAAACAGATCGTTTATGCTAATTCCTAGGAAGAGGGCGACTTCTCGCTTGGCAATCCGGCTGCTGCTGATTAGGATTGTCGACACGTAAATGTCCCCGATGATGTTTTTGATTTCCGCCTCGATGCGCTTGGCCATGATGGGCTAGTCCTCCGAGGAGGTGGAGAGAAGCTGATGAGGTGGGGAGGAAGAGGCCCTCTCGAAGGAGGCACGTGCCGCTAACTTGCCGCTTAGTTCGAACTCCCAACCTGTTTACGCCCCAATGAAACGTGCTGACCACGCGCTCATGAGTAGATCTGCACAGAACAAGCGCCAGATCCAAGCAGAGCACCGCCCCAGTGGATACATAAAAAGTGGTGATGTCTTGAAGTGAAGGGAGAGAAACGAGCCCTTATTAATAACCCAGGGGTGGGTAAGTCCTGTCCGTTCGAGACATAACACACACAAAAAAAGGAAAGAAAAAGGGGGCATTTAAAAAGGATGACAAACATCAGTTTGCACACAAACATGACCCCATATCTACACCTTCTCGGTGAGTGATCAGTACGCACATACACTTCCCCAGTGAGGAATTGCCCATGCAGCGTAACTCTACGTGCGGGGTAGGTGTTTGAAAAATGGGGACTGAATTTCCACCTCGGGAAAAGCTAAAAGGAAGATTGTTAACACGAATGAGAAGAAGCTACAGTAGGAAAAAAAAAAGTGTAATCTCTCTTTTGTTCCCTTCACCGGGGTATATACTCTACTTCGCTGTTGAGGGCTTTTTCGAACGAGGAGCGGCATCTCCCATGCAGCCTTACCCCCTCGGTGTGGGACATACATTGACTGTCACTGGCGCACACCCGCGTACATTTGGGGAGGGGTTGCCTATGAGGTGGTTGGGGGAAGGCTAACCCATGTGGCTGGCGCGAGAGAAAGGCCCATGGTTTATTATGACACCTCTGCTGCGGGGGTTATTCAGCAGGAGAAGGTCGACAAGTGTGGATTCGCAAAGAGGAAAGGAAACTCTTAGCGGTGAAGAGGAGGCAACAAAAAGTGGTGCAGCGATTGGAGAAGGGGAAAAAAAGTAAATGCATGAACAGGGCATATGGTTTTACTGCACAGAGGGGAACAACAAACAGTGTGAAAAATAAAAAAAAGGCGGAAAGGAAGGCGGAAAAGAAAGGGAGGAAGATCTCTTCACGCAGCTTTCACAATTTGCTTACCATTTTATGGAGGTCAAAATATTTGTAGCTTTTTCAACGACGAACCAACGAGGACGATGTGCCGGCAGGCAGCATATAATATCATACATATCACGATCCACGTAGCTGACGGCCGTCAAGGAAAAGGCGGGGGGTATACTATAACGTTGAAGGATAAAAAAAAAAGAAAAAGAAAAAATAGTCTATCATTAAATGTACCTGCCACTTTAGAAAAAGCAGTGCATCCATTTTTTTTGTTTCATTTTTTATAAAGGGCTTCTCAAGTTGTGCTTATCCCGTTTCTTCACTTTTTTGCAATTTTGTTGTGGTTTTTTTCTGGGGGGAGGCATATTTATATAGAAGGGTTACACCCAAAGGAGGCGGAAAAAGCGAGCGAGATGCTGTGATGTGCATAGTTTTTCCCTCGTGCAGAGAGAGCCCATTTGGCCGCTTTATCCTTTTGTAGTCACTCCATGAGATGCGCGAACGGGGGTGGCGATTCCGTTTAGGATAACCTTATGCTTATCGTTCCTGTAGTGAGGCCACTCAGTGCCCACCCATAGGAAGTCAAACGTGTCGCCTCGTTTTTGTCCCAAATGAACGACTAAAGGGGGATCGAAAAAGGAAAACACACCAAGGAATGTCGATGTAGATGGGGCAATTGTCTTAGCCACGAGTTTGCCCCCCTTTTGAAATTCTTAACTGGCTCTTTTTGAAGCCTCTCGTGAAAGGGGTGCACACTCGTCGGGTACTCTCCATGTTGGTGCACGTCACGTGAGTGGCCCTCTGCCTGTACCGCTGCTTACCCCACTGCTTGTCCGGCTGCTTCTACCACTCCCTTTCCCTCCCCTTATGTGGAAAAGCAGCATGGACGAAGCACAGCTCAAAGTTGAATCCCTCGTGGAGACCCTGGTGGAGGAATATGTGTCCCCCGAGAAGGTGATGTTCCGCTATGACCGGGAAAAGAAAGTGGAGCTAATGTACGAGCGGAAGAAGGATAAAGAAGTGAACAAAATTAGGGCCGACATTGTAAAACAGTTAATCCGCCTCTTAGAGATAAATCATACACAAGGTAGGAAGATACATGGCACGCTGACAGAAATAATAGGTGCCCTCAAAAGCTACCTCTTCTGCAATGAAAATATGAAGAGAGGATCCGCAGTGAATTTAATTGCCCACCTGTTTGAAGAGATCAGCGTGGTGGAGTTAGACACAGAATACCTCGAATGTCTCATCCTTTTTTATATTAAGCTAATCGAAGACTGGCATTGTATCAGTGGGGTCACCAGATTTCTATTGATCATGTTTGAGCGATACAGGGACCTTTTGAAAGGCATGAAGTTTTCCTACGATGTGAAGAGAACGTATAGGGTTTTATTCCCTTCGAGGCGTGGGAAGGGGAAGAGGCACCCAGGGGGAATCGACGTATCTGGCAAAGCCGATCGGGGTGACCATCCAAATGGGGTTCCCGATCCGGGGGGGGACAGCGACCATGGAAAGGAGTACGACGATGGGGGGGAGTACGACGAATATGCCCCTCTTAAGGAAAATGGGGGATTCTACCACTCGGATGGCTCCCAAGAAGACGAGGATGATGATGGTTATGGCCAGCGCGGTGGCCCCCAACGTGACAGTGAGGAGGAGCAGGAGGAAGAAGAGGACGATGAATCACAGGAAGAAATGGAGAAAGAAAAGAACACCTGCGTTGTGTATAAGATAATGAAGAGCCTCTTTAAGCACGTCCACGCCCCAAGCTACCTGCAAAACATAAGGCTGAATTGTTATCGCATCATTTTGATATCCTTGCAGGAGTTTAGAGCCGAGATGGTCTCCATTCCAAACTTCATTGACAAGATCCAGGTGCAGCTGGAGAATGAGTCGGACCCCAGAAATATTTTAGTGCTCTTTGATATAATACACATTCTGTGCAGTGGATACATAACACATGACGAAGGGGGGGCAGTTCAATCGGGCGCTACAGTGGAATGGGGGCAGCCCGATATCGCAAATGGGGGGCAGTGCTATATCGGGAGCGGAGAGGAGGAAGAGAAGTGGAAGGAGAAGAAAAGCACCCAGGAACGAAACCCAGGAGCCCTATTCTCCCTGGACAGAGAAACACAATACCTCAAGTCAGTGATCGACATCGCCTTTTATTACTTCCCAATAGAATTTGTCAGCAGCGAAGCAAGGTACGATAGCATCACTGAGGAGGACCTACAGAGAGCCTTCTACAAATGCCTCAAGTCAAACAAAAGGTTAGGAAACTACGTCATAATGAATATCCTAGACGAGCTCTACAACACACAAGATGATGAAATAAATGAGAAGAATTTGGAAAATATAAAAGACACTCTTGAGGTATGTGCCCCATTCTATGGTAGTGTCTGTTGCTCAGGGTTCATCTCGACCATCACAGGACTGATCGAATTGGAATGCATAGACAGTGATGCTTCAGATAAAATGGCAACCTATTTTGTAAGGATTCTTCTTCTTTTCTTCCACATTATAAATGAAGAAGAGGACGAGGTGCTGAAGCGATCCCTATTCGATATGCACTTTGCGAGAATGTTTCGGAAGCTCAACACCTTCCTCATTCTGCACAAGTGCCTGTGTAGTGAGAATCCACCATTTGAGGCGGTTGCAGATGGAGCGGTGGAGCCCAGGGTGGAGCCCCCTGTGAGGGTATCCTCGACTGGGCCTCCACGCCTGACGCAGCTCTTCCACTTGGAAGAGATTGCAAATTTGTCCGACTCTTCTCAGTCGGGAAGTGTGAAAAGTGGCCGCAGCAACGGAAGCGATCGAAGCAATCGTAGCAACCGAAGCAACCGAAGCAACCGAAGCGAGTGCAACAGCGAAAGCGACAGGAACATCCTCGCTATCATAAGGGAAAAAAACCACATCGAAAAAATGAAGGAGAAGAAGGAGAGACAAAGGAAAAGGAACAAAATAAAACTGAGCAAATTCCCGGTGATCGAAAAGATCCTCATGTGCATATCGAAAGAGAACACCTACGTCTTCCTGTACGTCCTTGAGACGACCCTTAAGCCGATGCTCCACGAGTGCTACTACTTGGTGCACGCGCTGACGAGGGAAGGGGAGCCCCCTGCCCGGGGAAACGCGCAAGAGGCGCGACCTGGACAGGTAGAACAAGCTGATGAAAGATCACACCCTGAGAATGGTTCACCCCTTGCGCGCAACGCGAAGGTCAAAGCCAAGTGGAACCTCGTCGCGACGTACCTCAGCTTTATAAACAACGTGATGAGCGAAAGTGCCAAAGTGGAGGAGGTAGTGGCGACGAGGATCAGCTTTGTGAAAGAAATCTTTATTATCAGGGAACTGCTGAGAATGGGGCGGGACCTGTTTTTTCACGAGTACCACGATTCGGGTCTACACCTCTTTGGCATCCTGGCGAGCTTCGTGTCCATGCATGGGGGGGCAGCTGTGGGGGGGAGCATCCCGAAGAGCGGCACAGAGCAGGACGAAGCGGGTAGTGGAACGAAAGAAGCAGTTGGCAACTCAACGAACGACACAACTGGCAACGTAATGGACAACGTAACGAACGACGTAACGAAGGACGACACCCTCTTACACCAAGCGATCATCCTCTTCTTCTACTTGGTCGGAATGCACCCCGGGGGAAACGTGAAGCTCCGTGTGCTGGGCGACAGCGGACGCGACCTCCTGGACCAGCGGGGGGAGTACAGCCTCATTAAGAGCGCAGACGAGTGGAGAAGGAGCATCCTCGAGGACCACCATCAGTTAACCGCAGACATCAATCTGAACAACGAAAATATTGTGCGGGAATGTAAAGAATATAAAAAAAACGATCTGCTTTTTTTTCTCACGTTAGTAAGTAAAATCATAAAACACAAATATGACCATATTGGCAGCTATGTAAACACATTGCTGATGAACATGTGTTTCCTACTGCTAAAGTTTCACTTCGAGAAGAATGAAGATTTGAATTGGTACATATCTCTTCTAAGGGACACATACCAGGTTGACATTCCAGACCTCCTTCTGATTTCCACCAATGTGGCTTCCTTCCTGCTGAAGAGTTTTTACCACCGCGTTGAGGGAGTGAAGGAGGAGTTTCTCCACTTCAACAGGGAGGAAGGCAGCGGAGGCAGTGCCCGTATTCCCTTAGACAGTCAGACGAATTTCCAACTTGATCTGGAGTTATCTCCAAAGATGGGTGAGTATCACCCCCATTCAGGGATGACCCCCGGTGGAGTCATTGCCGAACTTGTTCGCTTCGGTAGAGGCCCAATTGGAGAGACTCTAAAGTGGAAGCGTGTCCAGGTTAAATGCTTCCTTGTGCGTCCAACAGAGGGGGAAACATTAAAGAGGTCATACAAAAAGGAAGAAAAGAAAAAAAAACGTTGCGGTGAAGCAGAAGAGGAAGAGGGAGACACAACGTGGGAAAGCCAATCGTTTAAGGTCACCATGTGTGAACCGACAAATGGAGAAGACATCACATCGTTTTATCTTGCCTACATAGTAAGTGTAGCGTATTGGCAGATTTACAAGACGTGTGAGAGGGTCATGCGGAGAAGTGGACGTGATCCGTCTGCAGTTTCAGATGGGTCACCACATGAAAGGAAAAACCAAGACAAGCTAAAAAACGAACTTTGCAAACCGCATCTTCTTGTGAACAACATGGAAGTGATGGAACTCTGTATAAATTATCTCTACGAGGAGGCAGTCGTGAGGGGCATCCTCTCAGAAGGAACCTCAAAAGAGGAGGAAAAACACAAGGGAAACAGCAGAGTAGATAATCTGAAATGCATTCGAATAGTGAATAGCAATGAGGAGCTCAGTTACTACGGGACATATGTGAACAATTTGAAGGGATTTATTCCAATAAATGAAGTGAAAAATATACAACCGAGGGGACAAATCAGCAGGAGGCGGGAAACTGGGATGATGGGATATTCCCAAATAAGTCCCTTGACATATCTCACCAGCAGCAACCCGTTCCGTAATGTAAACGTCTTCGAGACGGCCACATTGCTGTACATTTTAAAAATGACCTTAACCAGTCATATAATTTGTGAAGATTGGAGGGGAGAAGCAATGGAAGAAGGGGATGCAGAAATGTGCACTCTGGCTAGTTACCTATATCGGAAAGTAAAAAAAAACGTGAATCATATATTTATCACCATGAGTGAAGCGAAGAAGAGAGAGTTTATCGAGACGCTGATCGATTGCTGTGTAGGTGAGGACGTATACCCATACATGTCCGATAAGGATGATATCTTTGGAGGAAGCATTGAAGAGAGTTATCACTTGGACAATTTTCGTGGGGAGAAATTCTCCTCACGTGTGATGAACCCCCTTCTGTTGCTTTTTTTACCTGCCCTCCTGTCCATCCACACACAAATAGGACAACACCACATGCAGAGATTATTAAAATTGTGCATGTACATCTTTTTATTTAACCTCCCCTTGGAGAGGTCCTCGCCCAACCGCGTTACTACCTGTGAGAGGGACTCAAGTGGAGGGAGTACCTCTTGGGAGAATCTGACCACAGCCGCGAAGAATGGAAGTGCACGCCCCTCACGGGAATACGTCTCAAAATTTTTACACCAAAAAGCTAAGGAGCATTTCAAGGAAGGGGAAGTCCCCTTCTGGCGTGGCGACCACGTATCAGATTGTCTTCTCCACCTGGATCGTGCCAATTTAGAAAGTGTTCACAGATGCGCCCTACAGATTGTAGGCATCCTACTGCATAACTGGGATGGCATTCACAAAATGGTGAGCTTCATTCTATCCCCATTCGATTTGGTCGACGAACTTGGCATAACCTTAAATGGTGCATTATCTTTTAAGCGCTTCATCGACCTGTATGCAGCGACGTATGAGGCATTTATACGCAGGTGGGAAAAGGGGAGCAACGTGGGAGAAGCCGCTTCCATGGGGGGAGAAGCACCTTCCGGGATAGACGAATCTCCACTGGTCCACCTTCTGAGCACACTTTTCGAAGCCCCCACCCAAGACCCAACAAACCGGCTGTTCTATCTTCTAGATTGTGTCTACTTTGGCGAAGAGGACCCCCAGTTTTCCCAAATATTTTACAGTAGAGGCGAAAAAGAATATCACTTGAGAGAAAAACAGACTGCCAACGTGATAGAAATTCGATTGCTCGATAGAACCTCCTTGAAGGAGAACAATCGAAAGGGGCCCATCACAGGGGAACTGAAGTCTGTGATATTTAGCCCTCACGAAGAGGGAGCAATCAGAGTAGTCCATTTGAAAGGGGTCATGCGCCTAGCCGTGGGTCAGTCCACTGGAGGTGGCGAAGAGAATGAACAGAACAACATCAGTAGTGACAGAGACGAGGGCAACTTCTTCCTTCGCCGACATTTCCTCCATTTCTTCGCCCAGCATTTGTCCCTCAACTACGATTTGACAGTTCACCTGTGGAAACATAGCTCACACGAAGTGGCAGAGGAAAATCTGCAACTCGTATGCGACAGCGTGGCAAGTGCTTCCCTTCACCAGCACACATTTAAGCACGTACTGATCTGGCATTTCTACCTGTACCCCTCCCATGTGTACAGTCACATTTACTCAGTCATTCACAACATAGATACGAAGCTTCTGTTAAGGGAAGAGAATTATAACCGTGTTGCCTTCACCCCCAGCGATGCTTTCCTCACCTTATGTAGAAAAGATTTGTTGCACTTTATTTGTACCATGTATAATTATGTCTACTTCATCGATGTGACTGAGAGGTTCCTTTCCATGTCGGAATTCATTTGGCTCATGCAGAGGGAGAAGTTCTCTTTTGATTACTCTCTTCCCTTTGATGTCATCAGGAGGAATGAGAAGACGCTAATTTTTTTGGAGAAACTCAACACCTATTTGCGCTCCTGGGATGAGAGCAGCGATACGGGCATTTCGAAGTCAGTAGCGCAGGAGACGCAGACAATGGACAAGGTTAAAAGGGAATACAGCTCAGATCAACACCTCTCCGATTCCCTCGCGCGAGGAATGATTAACGGTATGGATGGATCTCATCAGCAGGTGGAACTACACAGTGATAGTCACCCCCCAAAGGAAAACCAATCAGATGGGCACCCCCCAAAGGGTAGTAACTTCTTCTCCCTGTTACAGAAGCGCAAAGAGAATAAGATACTAAAGTACAACTGTAAGTACCTGTGTCTAGTCCACCTGGCGTCCATTGTGCTGCTGAACACACCCATGGAGGGGGCACTACACGAGCATTACAACGTCATGGAGATTTGCATACTCAAAGGGATAGGTAAAATTTCGAATTTTTTTATAAGCAAAGGGGAATACACGCGTAGCAACAAGAGGTACATTAACAGGGTGCTGCGGACCAACGCTGAGCTCGTTCGTGTTCTGTTTGCCGAGGGGGCGGAGGGCCCAGGTGCGAAAGGAGAAGGGCATGAACCTACGGATGAGTCTCCAATCGGGGGAGAACACCATGAACGTACGGGGGAGCACCTAATCGGGAGGGAACTTGTGTCACTACTCCTGGTGCTGGCCCTGCGCCTCCTCTATCTCATAATGAATCTTTTCAATTTCGTGTTGTCAAAGGAAAGACATATTTGGGGGTCCTGGGATGGGTCATCCCCCATAGGAGCGTCTCCCGAAGCACCTCCGAAAGGCGCTCTTCAGGAGAACGTCCAATTTTTATTGTCGTACAAATGTCGCCTGGTGAAGAGCCTGCTCAAGTTAATCGTGTCTATACCGCTGCCTTTGGCTAGGTATCAGTGCGCCTGTATTTTTTATATCATTTCGTTTTTAAACTACAAGTCTTTCCTACCCTATGATATCATCCAGGACGTAAGTGTCTCCCCCAGTTTGGGGGGAGAAGGGTGCCTATCTTCCCGGGGTAGCTGCCCTTCCGGGGTGGCTTCCATCTGCGTTGCTTCTCCCACGTGGTATGTCTTCCCATCTTAATATTGCATCGCTGACCACGTTGTGCCGCTAACCATCGCGCCTTTTCCCCCCCCTTTGCAGATTAAGTGGTACTTGTCTATCGCGTCCGTGGACCCGCACAAGAAGGTCAGGAAAATGGTGGTGCTCTGCAGAGCCAGGTGGATGTAACTACTCCTTTACTTTTTCGTTTCCTTTTTTTTGTGAAGTGGAAAGGCAAAGTTGGTTGATTGGAATTTAAAAAGGGGCGTTTATTTCGCAAAGGGTGAGAATAGAAGTTGAGTTGAAAATGTTGTGGCGTTACTGTTTTGGTTTGCTTTGTTTTGCTATGTTTTTTTTTTCTTTTTTTTCTTTTTTTCTTTTTTTTCTTTTTTTTTTTTTTTTTCATTTGGCATTTCTCTATGTGCATGCCTCATGCTCACGCGACATGAGAAAAGAAAGAAAAAACAATAACAGTGCGATAATTACCCCAGCACTTGTGGCGGCATTCAAAGCGATAGTGGCTGCCATCAAATCGCGCAGCTCGCAAAGTAGCGAACGTTAATCAGTCATCCAATCAATCAGTCGGTGAGTTAGTTACAGAAACGGAACTAAATAGGGGGGAGAGGCAAACCGAGAAAAACACGCATAATAACACAAAAAAAAGGGAAAAGGAAACCAGGCAGATGGTGCGAATTCGACGGAAAACATGGGATGGAGAGCAAAACAGGCAGATGAACGAAGGACTACAGTTAAGTCTTCTCCAAAGTGCGCCACGATGTGTATATATAGGGCTCTAGTATGTGTGTATGGGGACGTCTGTTTTGGGGGGAAGGGCTTTCCCTACCAGGGCTAACATATCTAGGAAATGCGGGGACGCATTTTCTCCACGTCGGATGATAGAGACGTCCAATTGTATCCCTACGTATGTGCATAAAGTCATGTGTGTAATTGGAACAGTAGGGTCTCATCTGTTCTCCTGTGCGACGTGCACAATTGTGAAGGTGTAAAAGAAAGAAAAAAAATATATTTCATTTTTTCCGTATCGAATTTAGCGTGGCTAACATGAACTAAAAGGCGACTGCGAGGAAGACCAACAGCAGGAGGATAAACAGGAAGGGTCCGTATAGCACGAAAAAGTATTTCCACCTGCATGGGTGCACGGGGGAAGGGAACGACGATGTAAGGAGGGGTGTAGAGAGCTTAACAAATGTGGGCGGTCACTTTGGGTGATCAGTCTCGGTGGTCAGTCTGTGCGCCCTTTTCAAACAAGTTGCATTTGATCTCTTCACGCGCTTACGAGACGAAATGGCCATGGATCACCAGATTTAGGGCCACCTTGAAAGGGGTCCTGTGGAACAGGGGGAAAAGTGGTGGGAGGCTCATCCAGGGATTAATCAAAATTGGGTAGAGGAACGCCCCTGGGAACAGACACAAAATGCAGACGTACGAACTGGATAGGGGATCCCACGCACAGCGTAGCCATCGATTTCGCTATGCGTGCACATAAATGAATGGACAAATAAATAAATATATACATATATATATCTGTAGTGTGGAAAAAGAAAAAAGTGAACTCACACTCGGGGGCTAACGTACCAGTCGGATCTCCCCTTATACTTTATACTATTCAGGACCATGGCGACGTGGTGGTGGCAGTTGTTACTGCAAGGGGAATTTATTTAAAAAAAGATTTCTCCTTTTTTTTTGTCCTTCGTAAAGGAGGATGTTTTGTGATTTTCCGTCGGGTCATTTAGAGGATGTCTTTTTTTTTTTTTTCTTTTTTTTCTCCCTTTTTTTGTCTTACACGAATAGATTATGCTACATTGGACAGGAGAATCGGGTAACATGTGGGTGGATAAGCGAATGAGGGGGAACCGCATTGGTTCATTTGGAAAGGGGGACACCTCGTGCCCCCGCGGAGGAAGAGCGTAGCTTTTACCTTCCTTTTGGAAAAAACGTCGTCCGCTTGGAAGATTGCGTCATCGTAGAACTGGGTAAGTGGTAGATGTTTCGTGATAGGTATTTTGTGGTAGGTGCTTTGTGGTAGGTGGTAAGTCACCTTTTTACAGTGGAGAACTCTGGAGCAGCTCGGGGAAATCTCCCTCCTCCTACCCTACCTTGTCAGTGATGGCCAGAGGAAGTTTATTCTTGTCCAACTGCCAATACTTCATTGGGTCGCTAAATGCCATATTGTCTGGTTTGGAAGAAGGAAACAAATAAGAAGCGCATGGGGGAAAGGCAGAGTGTCGAGATTGAGCAGTGGCAGGAAGATTGTCTCTTCAAATCGGCTCAGATTGTGCAACCAGTAACTCTGGATGGGAGAACATAAAGGAGGGTGTATGTGACTAAGGTGAATAGTCCACTCAGAAAAAACATGCAGGGGAGCAGTACCAATGGAGATACTGTATGATCCGGAGAAGTCGTGAATTAGGCCTGATGATGTGCCGATTCCTGCGAGGGATAGGAAAAAAAAAAAAAAGAGAAAGAAAGAGGGGGAGATAGACACAACCATCTGCACGGGGGAATCCCTACATTGTCATCGTTTCAGGGGTGAAAGAATCCACTTTAGAAAAAAAATGGCTCTTCTTACCGACATGCCCCACTACGGGGATGAACGTGGACGCGCATGGTAGGTAGGAGAACACGACACAATAGGGGAACTGCAACGGGGGGGAGGCGGCAAGTGATGGTGACCAGGTGATGGCGCTGCCCTCGCGGTGGCGTGGCGAGTAGGCCTACGGTTGCCCAGTGTGCCAGCGTGTGTACATGCGCAAACCCGGCCGGAAGGCACGGACCCCTCCTCCCCGGTCTCACTGTTGCTCCATCACCATGATCATTACCTTGTTGTCTTTTCTGTTAACCTCGGCATTCTTCATGAAGTCATTTGGCATGTTGTGCAGTGGGGAGCGAAAAGGGCAGCAAAAAAAAGGCGACAAAAGAGGGCGGCAAAAAAGGGTCGCCTAAAAAAACAAACGTAGAAGGTGGAGTTCTTCGGGTGGTAGTCTAACGGGGAAGTTGGTCAGCTGGATGGCTGATTCCCGGTGAGCTGCTAAGGGGGCGAACAAACAAACAGACAAAAAAAAAATAAAAGCACTTGGGCGTGATTAATAGGTCCACTGTGCGGGGGTTAGAAAAAAAAAAAAAAACGGAAAACAAGAAACAAGTAACACCAAACAAGGAACAAACGTTTGTATTTATGAGTATGTTTATGCGTACGTTCATGTGTACTTATGTGTGTTCCTTTTTTTGAGGTCGCCTGTGAATTCTTTCGTCGTGGGCAGTCTTCCCGCGCAATTGTATACACGCATGATTTAAGGAAGGCGCGACGGAACGCCAACATTTCGCGCTAGGTACATATGAAGGGGGGCACTTGTTCGTTTCATTTTTTTTTTTTTGTCCTCGTTTTCGCCATTTACCCACCAGTGAGAATACGCTCAGAACGGAAAAACGTATTTCACCTTCTGGGGAAAAAGAAGAAAAAAAAAAAAGAATTTCGCTGGAGTCCAAGTGTAACCTTATGTGGACATGCTACTGGGAAGAAACGACTTCTCCGTGTTTCACTTTTTTTTTTTTCAAACTGAACAGGTCAACAGTGAGCTTGTGACAAGTGAGGCTTATGCTGCTCATCTTATTCATTTTATTTTTTTTTTCTGGTGAATTTTTTCTTTTTTTTCCCTTTTTTTTTCCACTTCTCCGCGTCTCCCGCTTTTTAAGTTTCCATTATGAACCTACTACGCGCAGGGCGCTTCCCCTTTGGCGACTGGACGTAGGCCTTTTTTTTCGTTTTCAGCCACCCTTGCGCGAGCATACGCGGGGGAAGCGGCAGTCCATGGACGGGAGAAGCTTAGCGGAAGGGCGAAATCGCGGGCAAATGCAAGCGTATACACATGTGTACAGATCCGCGAGTGCACAAATTTCTGTCCAATTTCACAGCGTTGTATAGCCCTGGTAAACCGTTTCAACATTTCCCTGCTCCCATTTCGCTTATCCCATAAATCTTGTCATCCCTTGGGGGCCCCTGCATTTTGTTCTAATCTTGTTGTAAAGGGATGGTAGTGGTATTTTCCCCTGTCAACTGTACAATAATTTTTTTTTTTTCTCCTAAACCTCACTACAATGTGCATGTTTGAAAGCACGCCTTTTTTTTTTCTTTTTTCATACAACTCGCTTAAATATGTTCCCCTGTTTGTTTCTTCACTTTCTGTCCTTCTACATTTAGCTACACCTGCTTTAGTCTCCTTTTTTTTTAATACCCATTTGACCGTACAGACATTTGTATGTATGGGTACGGAGGGGTTGTCGGCATATTGTGCGCTTCACCACGTCACCGCTTAGCTTAGCTGGCTCCTTTTTTTTTTTTTTTTTTTTTTTTTTATCCTCGGCGGGGAGGCCTAATTGGCAGGCACGTACTTGCCTACGTAGTTATTTACATACCTACATGGGGACACACCTCCATGCCGGCGCGGCACGCCCCGAATTAACTACCCCTACAACTGCACTGAAACAAAATGAGTGACGATGTGTGCACAAGCGTGGGCTCCTCCGTGGACAGCACGCTCTTCAACGTGTTGGCCGCGGGCAGGGACAAAAGCAAGAAGACCCTCGAAGAAATTAAAGCACTCCAAGAAAGGAACAGGACTCTGATAAAAAATGAGCTCAAAGAATACAAAATTGTTAACAAGCTTATTAGTGAACACATAAGATTCATGCCGGGCCTTCTAAGTACCCCTAGGGAATCATCACAGTTAGGCGCCACACTGGAGGGTGTGGATAAGGTACAGGATGTGACAGAATCGATGGAAGAGGAGGAGGAGGAAAAAGAACCTCGACGGATGTCTAATTGGGACGACAATATCGGAGGAGTGGACAACCCAAATCCTCACACCAGCACACATCTGGAGGAGAACGCAAAGATCACAGAAAAGGAAACAACAGACGAAGGAGCAGCAGCTGTGTCGGTTCCCCCAGAGAATGAGAGGGACCCAATTAGTAAACATGAGGAGCCTCCCCAAAAAGGAGATCCATATGCGGGATTCCCTTCCAGGATGAACCTACTCCAACTGAAGCAAAAAATAGAGCGTCAAAGATTGACTCTCTCAGATGTTAAGGATTATCAGACGAGTACCATGCTACTTAGCGAGGTAAAGAAAATAAGACAGCTATCTTTTAGCGATGGAGCAGTCGTAAAAATTAGTGCAAAGGGTTCGTTGCATGCGGAAGGAAGCGGAACGGGCGATAATAATTCTCATTCGAAATTGGCCTTAAGGGAGGAGGCAACGATTTGGCACACTCCAAATGAAGAAGACAAAAATGACTGCACTAAGGGAGGAGGCATTATTGAGCAGCTTCTGATGAGCAGCGACTTCCGTAGCTCTCTGAGTTCCAAGGGGGCGCAGGGGGAGCCTCTAGGTGACTCCTTCACTGTGGCGTTGGATAGTGAGACTAACGGGGGTAAGCATAGCGGGGGTGGGCCTAACAAGCTGAACAGTGGAGACGATGCCACAAAATTGAGCAGCCCCGATTGTAACGTCCATGCAGAAGCGAATGGAGTGGATAAGACGAAAGACTTTCTTTATTCAATCCGTTCGGTCGGAGATTTGGCGTCCCCCTCCAGTGGTGAGTTCGACGTGAGTGATGGAGTACCACTGGGCAGTGAGGGAAGCCAATGTGGGGAAGCCAGCCAAGGTAGGGAAGCCAGCCAAGGTAAGGACACCAGACAATATAGGAACGCCAGAAACGGTATGCGAATAAGTCGGATAGATTCCCAATACTTCACAGGAGAGCTTATCCGAGAGGGTAACAGCGGGGAGACCCTCCTTGATGGCTCGTGGCCGCAAAGGGGAAAGGACGCAGAAGGATCTGCGAACCACCCCATAGTGATAAGGAGCCATTCACGAGGTGAAAAAAGGGATGATGAGCTCGTAGAAGTTGTAATCCGATTGTCCAGATTAAAAATTGAGGAAACATTTAAAAAGAAGCTCCAATTTTTTGACAAATTCTGTCTATCCATTTGTGTTCCCATTTCGTATGAGGGGCAGTCTGACGGAATGGGGGAAGAACAACGTGGAGGGAGTGCTAGCCTAAATGATCTGAGTACATGTAGGATGCGGTCAAAGGATGAACAGCTGGATTTGTCCAATTTAGAAAGGATCGCTATGAAGGGGGAAAAAAAGGATACCAATGGTAAGAGAAGCGGTAATTATGTAAATCACAAAAAAGGGAGGAATGAAGGAAAGACCTATAGACAGGACGCCTCCATCAAGTACGATAATTTTTGCCTAAAAAGCAGACATGTGAATGAGAACTTTATCGAGTTTGGGGAAGATATACATTATAAGGTAGAAAGACAACTTTTTGAGAGCGTCGAAAAGGTAGCCATTTTACTATGCGCCAGTGAGTGTGAACAGCGAGGAAGGAAAAAAAAAAAAAAGAAAAAAATGAGCTCATCCAAATTGCATACTCTGCAGCGGAAGAATGTTACCATCGTCAAGTCGCTAAATCGACCATTCGTTGTTCCTGACTGGTACGAAATTCTGGCGTATGGCGAAGTCCCTTTTATATGCAAAATCGATGTGGAAGCACCACTGAGAGAATTGTGTCTCCCATGGGGGAGTTCCTCCCACTTGGTGAAGCGCCCACTTGTCATGGTCTACCTGCAGCTTGCCATGCTGTACCTGTCAAAAGGGGAAGATAATTATCATCTCCTCAGAAAGGGGAAAACGTCCGAGGGGCGTTCCTTGACGGAGCCCTCACGACGAGAAAGGGTTCAACCACGAGAGGGTCGAAGTCATTATGACGAAATTTGTGACCAAATTGGCCATGTCGTCCCGCAGGAGCAGATTATCCAAAGTTGCGAGAGTAACCGTAGCTACTGCTCAGGGGGGGAAAACACACAAGGGGAAAGCGCAAAAGCAGGATACACACAAGGGGAAAGCGCACAAGGGGGATACACACAAGGGGAAAACCCACAGGGGAGATCCCCCCAGGGGGTATTCACTGACGAGGAGCAGACGGGCCAAGTTGGAGCATCCTCCCAAACGGTCGCACATTGCACGAATCGTGATGCGAACGATGTGTTGTACATCTACGTGCACAAAATGCTGAACCTGTCGAAGAGGCGCTTTGATAACATGTCCATATGTGTAAGGTTCACCAAAGAGGAAAAGTATGACTATAGAAGTTTCACGCTGGAGGAGGAAAAAACATTTGACTTTTTTGTACACTCAAAGAGGAGGGTGAGTGAACTGCGGGAGGTGATACTAGAGGTGTGGAGGGACTCCACTGGGAAGGACAAAAGAAGGAGGGGTCGCCAGGGTTGGCACTATGACGACCAAGAGGAGAGTAGAGACTGCGTTGGAATAGTAAACATCCCCTTGGAGGATATTATCCAAAAAGAACAAGTGATCTGTTTGGAGAAACACTTCGAGATGACCCATCAGTTTTACGAAAATATGAACTTTATGTTCTGGGTCATTCTGGTGAGAGGACAGAAGAACAGACAAGAAAATGTGCGACAGTTTTGTGAGAAATACATCGAAAGTTATGCCAATGAGGGGAAACATTCCCTATCGAATAGGGATGATCGCACCGATGAATCACTAACGAGTTCTGTCTTTTCTCTATCGGGAGGAGAGCAGTCCTTGGGGAAGAGGTTCGCCCCGTCGGATAGCGACCCACCGGGGGAAGAAAAGTCTTCGATGTCCATCAATGAGCAATATTTTATATATGACTCGGAGAGCCTGCAGAACAGTGAGTACTACGTGTATGAGTTACAGAGGGAAGTGTTGCAGAAGGACGTGCGTAGTAGTGCTCTGATCGCCAGCGTTATGGAGAGGGCCCGCAAGAGTGCAGCGGGGAGGGACCAAACAAGCGATGATGAGAAAGGTGATGATCAGGGAAGCGATGATGAGAAAGGTGATGATCAGGGAAGCGATGATGAGAGAGGCGATGATCAGAGAAGCGAGGATCACGTTGAGGACAGCGGCGGGAGTGTAAATAGCATCAACAATGATGAGGATGTCCCGGAGGAGCGGACGCAAAAAAGGGTGTCGCGGCGAAGGAAGAGGGAGAAAGCAGCGAAGAGGAAAAAAGACCCAGCGATCTACCTTCCAATCGAATTCATCAAAGAAGAACTGCTTCTACGAGGAATGAAGGAAGACACAGTCCACCTGATGATAGCAGACATGAAAAAAAACACAACCAAAAAGGATGAGAGATATATTTTGAAAACACACTTTGAAGAATATATTGACAAGATTTTTACCAAGTGGGAAAAATTAACAAACAAATTATTCATTCGAAATAGAAAAAAAATGCTTCTTAATGATGTGTGTGAATATTTGGACAACCTATACATTGACGACGATAGGTACATAAGCAAAGAAGAATTTTTCATTTTTTTTCAAGAGGTCGGCATCGTTTTTGTGGACTCCACTGTATTCGATGAGTTGTGCTTACTGTTCTTTGACAAGGAAAGGAAAGAAATTTATTTCTCAGCCTTCTCCGCCCTGATCATAAAAAGAGGAGTCGAGGAATTGAAAAATACTGTGTATGGTTACGACATTTTGTTGAGACTTTTTGGATCCTTTTACGAGAACCAGGTCACAATAGAGTTCCTAGAAAATGAACTAGGAAAAATGAATCTGCAGACAAAAAACTATTACTCAGCGAGGATCAAAAGGTACTTTTCTTCCGAGGCACTGAGGAGTTCATCCATTGATCAGGGTACTGCCGATGAAAATTTAGGACGTTTCTTAAAAGAGGAAGAAAATGTATGTTCTTGCACCTCTCTCCTGTTTTTACACTCTGTCAGATTTATGCTGACTAGGTTCAACAATAGGGATTTCTCCAACCAGGATTTATTTTTCCTGGTGAAATACCTGTTGCAGACACAGTGCAACTATTCGCGGACGGATGGGCGCGTCCTCGTGAACGTTATCAAGGGCATCGAGTCCCTTAATTTGAGCTTTTTCTTGGCCCTCTACCATATGTACGTGCAACAGCACGCCTCGGGGGGGGGTCTACAAGGAAACGCGCCTGTTGGGCGAAGCCAGCGCAGTGACCCCACCGAGACCTCCCCAGGGGACGAACCTAGGGAAGTGGAAGCAAAGCGATTCCCCCTTTGTGACGGCATGGAGGGCAGCACAGACGGAAGGATCTCTAACGGAATGGTCGTGTCTTCCCCCCGTGGAGGGGCCCAAGCGGAAGGTGGGGTGCCCGATCAGACAGGCGATACGTCTGGCCAGGAAGCGGACAACGAAGCGGACCCCAAATCTGAGCGCGGCGATGAGGGAGGGCAAGTGGCTCTCTTCATGCTGAAGAGCAGTGACAAGGATGAAGCACTCCTCACGGGGGACCCCGATAAGAGCAGTGAAATTATTGAGGGGGGCTCCCCTGTGCAGGAGGAGAATACCCCCAGGGGGGAGGCCCAAACGGATGCACAAAATTATGATGGTGCGAAGGAACCGTGGGGGGAGTCTCCTACTATCATAACAGAGACGCAAAATAATCGCAGCTTGGTAAGCGGTTTAAATGACCGGGGACGGAAGGACCAAACAGGTGATCACACGATGGCAAGAAAAACATCCAATGATGCACTCTCAAATGTAAAGAGGCAAAAACACATGAGCGTAACAAAGACAACGTCTTTTTGCAATGCCACAGATGAGAGAAAAAATACCAGTAGACCAAGGAAAGACATAAGGAACAGTTTCAAATATATAGTCATCATTCTACATGGCAAAATTGTGAGTGGGCTTATAACTGTGGAATACATTTCGGAGTGTCTGTTTCGGTACTTTGGGAGAAGAAGGGGAAAGGATCGGAATGAACAAAATGATAAAATGGATTTGCTGATGCTGTTTGATCTGTTGGGTCTTTACACATCTTATGAGATTGCCCTGAAGGTACTGAACTGGTACGCAAGAGAGGTAATTGTAAACAGGGGAGGAGATAACGATGACGGCGTTGCTGCAAACGGGGTGGAAGCAACAGTGTGGGGGGGAAATCATTTGGAGGAACGCCAACATGAGAACACCTCCCTGCTGCAAGACTTCACCGCCATCAATCACCAACATAACATAAAGAAGATTATGGAAAGGCACTACCTTAACGAACAAATCGGAGGAAACATATTTTCAGGTAGCACACTGGAAGATTTTTTCTCTCTCCTAAAAGAGAAGGACATAGGGATACAGGCTTTCTCCAAAAAGAATATTTTCACATACAGCGATTTTTACGCAACCGTTGAGAATCTCAATTTAGATTTCTCCAGAAATTATCTTCGCCTCTTGTTTTCTAATTTGTTAACCTACGACTTGACCTCCTTCACCAGCGTAAACAACAAGCTAATTTTTTACGACTGCATGGAGGCTTATTGGCTGAACTGGAACAGAGCCCACTTTGAGTTCCACCGGGGGGAGGCGCACGCGAAGGTACACACGGAGGTGCTCGCCGAGGTACAGGCGGAGCAGGGCGCTGAGTACCATGCGAGGGCCCTCTTGGACAGCGTCAAACAAAGGAGGAAAGAGCTAGCCATTTTTAAGAAGACAAACCAAGTGGAGACCCCAAACAGAGTGAGCCATATTCCCCAGAGAAGCAGATTAGTAATTGTGCGGGAAGAGTGGGCCACTTCCATAGAGAACACTGTCTCGGATCCAACATCGTGGGGGACCGACATGTTGGCAACCCTCCCCCTGTACAGTTTATTTTTTTACCTTTCTGAGAATGGCACCTTAAGAGGAGAAGAACTAATAAAGCACTACTTTTTTATGAACATGTTCAGGTGCGAAATGAACTCTGTAAATGTGGATGATTACGCGAATGATACTTATACGTTTTACGATTTCTGGCAAATTTGCAAAGACAAATGTGTGAGTCAGTGCGAGCGTATCGATGATGACTCCTTTAGGGAGGACCTTCTAAGGCTGATAGTGGTCATAAATGGGGACCATCGCAGTGGTAAAGAGGCAATTCGGAAGGGACACAGTGAAGGGGTTAACCCAAGTGGAGGAGGGATGCGCCCCTCGGGTGGACCCACCATAACGAAGTCGGCCTCCTCACTTCAAACTTTACTGAAGGGAAAGACTCACCTATTTTCGAAGAATTTCAAAAAGAATCTAGCCAATTTGCGCCTGGCCGTGGAGAACCTGGGGAAGGGAATGACCGAGGTTTCTCACTCCCCGCTGGGGCCCTGCCTGGGACGGAGTCGTAGCGCAATAACCCAGAGTGCCGTGAGTTTTAACGCCAATTGGAACAGAAGCGGTAGCTATGATGCAGGTTTGGGGAGACGAACGGGGAGCACAGAGTCGGGGGAGACACCACTTGTGCAGTTTCTCAAAAGGAATAAACACGTGGTGGGGCACATCCGGGAGTTCTTTTACCTGTTTGTTTTCTGTTGCAAAGTGGCGAACAACGAATCGGTGGATTTGTCCTTTCACGAGCAGGAGTGGATCTTCTATCGGGGGAAATTGAAGGATCAGTACTCTCAGAGGGGGGAGAGAAGTGCGCCAGGATGTACCCCGCCAAAGGGGGAGAATAAACACACGTACGTACCGCCTAATGGTGCAAAGAAAAGGGAGAAAGACAGACCTAATCACTCCCCATTTCTATATAAGGAAGTGCGCATATGCTGTGAGGAGAAGAAATTTACGAGCCAAGAGTACAAGGGGGTGGTGTATCCATATCTCCTTCTACTTTGCGATCTGCTAAAAAAAATTGTGCACATTTATAAAGATGGGCATGCTGCTTATCTCACGAAACGGTTTTCTGTTAATTATGAGGAGAAAAATTCGAGGATAACTTTTTTGCATCGCGTGGAAAATATTATGACCAGGTCAGGCAGTTTTGACTCCAAAGAGTGGAACAAAATGTATAGCATATTTGAAGCGCTGGACATCAGAATCAGTGAGTTCCTTTTAAATCTGTGGAGCTGTCTAGAGGTGAATAATTACATTATGAGACTCCCCAATGGAGTCACCCTTTTCAACGATTGCTATAATACGGTGTGGGATTTGATGAGGCCCAAGGGGAGTGGCCGTTCTTCCCTTTGGGCAGATCTTCCTACAGGAAGGAAGAGGGATTGTCCAAGGAAGAGTCCTATCCCCCTGGGGAGGAACAGAACTGATCGTGATTCTGATGAATGGAACGAACTGTACGTAAAGAATGTCAAGTATGTGATTGCCTTCAACAAGCTGCTTCTGTCCGATGTACGCGGGATCAATCGGAGGAGCCTACTCCACAATAAGTACATCACACAGGACAGAATCTTCACGACGCACATGACCAACGTGTACGTGAGGGCATTATTTAATGAGTGCATTTTGACAGGACTAAACATCAACCGATTGTTCGCACATATCGATAAAAAAGACTCCTTCATTTATGTCCTCTCAAAAAATTTTAATCATATTTTTTCTGAAGAAGACATGGCATTATTTGTGAAGAAGTACTCCTTCGTAGTAGACATGACATCTCTCCACTTGAGAAATTCCTGCCACAATTTTTTTTCAACGAAAAGTTTTTTAAATGACCTATACAGGCAAGGTGAATACTATAATGCGGAGTTAAAGGGAAAGCTGTTCAGATTTTTTTTTAAAAATGAAAATGTATTTTTTTGCAAACATCATCAGCGCATTGTGCATACCAATTTTGAACCAATGGATAAACACCATTTGATGTCATGTGATAAGCTCAAGAACATTTTGTCCCTGCATGGTTTGTTTCTTTCCTGGGCTGAGTTGTACGACTTTTTCCAGCCGCTCAACAAATTCTGCGTCATTTACGATTCTAAGAAGTTTGAGCTGCACGAGGCGGGGAAGCCGGGCCCCTACATCTTGAAGGCGTACATCAACCTGCCGAATTTGTTGCGCCTGGCGAGGAGGGCGGCACGGAAGGAGGTGGAGCGGCATGGAGGGGGGGAGGAATACCCATTCGAAGACAACCGTAACAGAGAAAAGGATGTGGAAAAATCTGTATCAAGAAATAATTTTCACAAAAAAGACAGCTACACGGAAAAGATGCCCACAAGTGACCACCAGTTGTCGTCTTGCCCCATCAGAAGGCGGGTCCACTCGGGGACGGCCCCCTCTAAGAAAGAACCGCTCCGAAAGGCAATCCCAAGGAAGGAAAACGCAAAGGAGGAAGAACAAAAAAAGAAGATTCACCATGGCAGTCATCAAGCGGTGTACACAAATTTAGCAAAAATTAAAGCGCTACCTAGGACATACTTCTACCACTTCCGTTTTAACAGCCTAACCATGGGAAGAATTTTATTTTTTTTCTTCATCAAGCTAGCCAATTTGAAATCGAAAAGCAACCTCACACATGAGCAAATGTATTATGGAATCAAACGAGCAGGGAAAAAAGATATCGTAAAGAAAGAAATGAAAAATGCATGTCATCTGCTGCTCAACATGGAAGAGAACAAGTTAGACTCTATCATACCGGATGACTTTGTTTTGAAAAAAGAAGAGTTTCTAAATGGGGTTCATTTAAATTTATTTCTCCTCAGAGATAGATTAGACTTCTTATTCGGAGAGAATCATTCCTCACCAATTCATGTGCATCAATTTGTTCATTTTTTCGACACGGAGAAAGGTGCAGTCTCCTTTTCGAACTACAGATTTGTGTACAACTTTTCCTACGAGTGGGTAAATCGCATGCACATGAAGGATGAATATGTGACCAGGGAATCCTGTGAGGCGTTCCTCGCAGAATTTCGTCTACCCGGCGTGGAGGATGATAGCAATGGGGAGGGAGAACCCCCTCTCAGGGTGGCAGAGGTGCATGAAGCGTCTGACAAGGAATCCAATGTGAAGAAAAAGAAAGAGAATTTTCAAAACGGAGTAGAGGACGTGGCGAGGAATGAGAAGCCTGTGTGGCGCAGCCATCCGGAGGGGGACGTCACTCCCCGTGAGGCCACTCCCCGTGACACATTAGAAGACAACCGAGAGGACCCCCCCGTGAGGCACTCCCTTTGGAAAGACCAACTCGTGAAGATGTTCAAAAAGAACATAAAAGGGAAGTGGAAGAAGATACTCATGCCGATTTTTCACCGCAAGGAGTTCTATGCACATCGATTTAGGATTATAATAAAGGAGTTTACGGGGATGAAAAATTTTGTGCGCAAAATGGAAAGCGAGAAGTGGAGAGGGAGAGAGCCCAACGTGGATAATAAATCTATCCACCAGAATGGGCCTAGCGAGCCTAGTCAGCCGAGCGCTCCCATCTCACTCAGCTACTTCTGCTGCTTCGCCATGAAAGAAATTGTGATGGATAACATCTGCACAGAGAGTGCTATGTCGCTTGGAGGAGAAACCAGAAGAGGTGGCGATTCCCTGCACGTGAATTACCTCTTTGAGCACACCTTTTCGACCGTAAGGGAAAAAGACATAATTACGCTCTTCGAACATAATAAAAAAATTTTCAAATTGAAACTGCTCCGGGGAGGAAGCATCATAGCCGAAGCAGATCTGCACATTCTGGAGATGTTTTCCATCATGAGGAATGAGGAAAAGAAGAGCCAAAAGATTTTGTGTTTCATTCCAACCGATGCGGATAATAAGAACATTATCTTTTTAGATGTAGACATGTATTATAAGAGGACGAAAATGGGTTCAGGTGATCCCATATTTGAAACTAGCCATAGAATGGTTAGTCCCAATTTCTGCGTTGAACAGCTAGCCGAAGAGAGCCCGCATCAGCGCCCCCATCAGGTGGACTTAGCAAAATTAAATTCTTCCATCATGCGTGCCTCTGAAAAAAGAGATTCTAATAATAAGGAATTAATAAAAAGAACCCAATCTGGAGTAAGCAACAATTGGTGCAGTGACCAATCGGCTCATCGAACTGCTCATTGCACACATGGGGAAGATAACTCCACCTCGATGCACAGAAGGACGAATTGTACTCTCACTGACAGCCGGCAGAGAAGAGACGGATTGACGGCCTCACCTGTGGTGCACCCACGGATTACAAACGGGACCACCCAAATGAGTCGCCAGTGCAGCGGCGAATACGTTTGGTTGAGAAATGGTCGGGAGGTTCTTTTGGCAGATCAGGGGGGAGGAAATGTCACACGTGGTGGCTATGGGGATGAAGCGGGCGATGCGGATGAGACCAACTATGCTGCGCCAAACTCGATCATCCTGGTTGATGGCATACTGGAAGGACACGCCTGCAGAGAGAATCCGAACCAGAAGCACAGCAGCAGGGACGAGTACCAAATCAAAGATAAGGACAGAAGGGTGAACCGATGGAAAAACAACACCAGTCACGTCTACCTAACCGTTAACTGGGTAATCCTTCCAGCGTGCTTGATTAGAAAAATGATTAGCAGACTGAGCGGGAATGGAAATGCAGACCGGTGGGGGGACGACGTGTTTGTAGCTGTTTACGTGGAGGTGTATCAGAGGATGGACACCTCAGGTGGGAGTGGCAGTACCGGTAGCAGCAGTAGAGGAAATAACGGCGACGGGACATACGAGCTGCTCTCCAGGTCCATCCCGCAAATGGTCAGCTGGGAGAAGAGGGGCACCTCCCCCAAGGGTAGCGATGAAAGTTTGGAAAGTTGGTGCGAAGAAGAGGGCGGTGGGGACGATGAAGATGATGCCGATAACGGTACAATGCGCAGACGGAGCAATCGAGCGAACGGTACATCACCTGATGGAGACAAAGCAGAGGGAGGTACGGGAACCCTTCACAACGTAGCGGTGAATCCCGGTGAGCAGACGCACCCCTCCAGGGAAGAATCACAATCAGCGAGCATGCAACTACTGAAGGAGGAGGAGGCGAAGGAGAAGAAAAAAAAAGAAAGAAAAAGAAAAATAAAAAGAAACCACTCCTCAGCCAAACTGTCAAGCATACACAACTTGAAGATAAAGCATAGGGAATTTATCAACTCGGGGAGCAGCCCATACGTGGAGGGGAAGATAACTGTGAAGGCTTTAATTTCACTGAATCACATTTCTGAGGATGTCGCGATTGGAGAGCACTTTTTTAAGATAAAAAACATTTTACACGAAAATGCGGATGCTGTATTTTGCTGGGAGAGTTTGTTTCATGGTGTTTATGGAGAGAATGCATTTTCTGAGGAGGAAAAGGAAAGGAATATGATTCTGGACAGCTCAGATGTAAGGATGGGTTCTACTGACCGGGTTCTAATGAGAAATGAAACCGAGATGGTGACATATCCCAAGGAGGAAGCTGAAAAGTTAGCAATTGTGCCACATTTAGATGATGGCAAAGGGGAGAAGGAAACGATCCTTGGGAATAAATCCTCTATAGAAAGGGAAAAAAAGGAAAATTCGATCGTACTGTTGGATAACGGAAATGCGGAAAACGGAAGAGACGAAAGAGAACTCCGAAAGAAACGACTCATTGGCTATGTCTCATTCGAATATGAAATCAAAAGGACAGAAGATGAAAGGAATTACGAGAAGAGAGATCATTTTGCGATACCCAATTTTGTGAAAATTTATTTTCTAAAAAAAAACAGAAATAATGAAAATATACTGAAGGGAAAGAATGACATATTGAGAAAGACAACTCTGGAGAAATTATTTGGCGAAGTTCTGAGGAGAGTAAACTACAAGAAATATGTGAAGGTTGAGACTCTCTTGGATGCACTGAGTTATTCAGTCTACTCCAATTACATGGACTACATTATCCGATTGTTTCGACATTATGTGGGGGCAGACACGTCGCTATTCTTTCCTGTGGAGAATATCTTATTAATTTTAGCCTTAAGAAAATTGTCCTCTCATTTTTCCAACGTGATGATTCATTTGTTTCGAGAGTTCCATCCGTGTAACGGAGAGGTCAACTCCTTCGGTGTGGTCGAGTGGTCTCACTTCGTCAAGTGTATGTTGAAAGCGCAATGTGGGTCATCCAACGGGGGAGGCGTAACAGTGGGAAGAGGCACTAGGAGTGTTAAGAGGGAAAGGCTTCTAAATCGAGAGAAGCTTCTAACGCGCGAAGGCCTTGTCGGAGCAGCCAATCAGGGACCCCCTCAGGAACTCTATCATAAACTCAACAAAAGGGGAGGAAAAAAGACGAACATGTTTTCTTCAACGTCATCTTGCGTGTCTTCCTTCTCCCCCTTCTCTGCCTTTACCCAGGAAGATACAGAAGATGATGACACTTCTTCCACCGCCTCCTCCTCGGCAGAGCGACACCGGGAAGGAGAAACTCCTCTACGAGGGAAGCACAGGATGAAGGCATTAAACCCTCTCAGTCAGAGAGACTGGTGTTTGTTGAACCACTGGGAAAAGTGGCACCTCCACCAAAACGACAGGAGCTGTTTCTTCCTCTTGTTGTTCCTAAATGATATGATCATTTTTTACAGAGAAAATAAGCGCGCAGTGAAGAGTCACAAACTGAACATATCGCTACCCCACACGTGTAGTCGTGCTCAGGTGAAGAACAAAGAGTGCCCTCTGCATAGGAAGCACTATTTGAGTGGACTCGCAAGTGGATTGACGAGCAGATGTGGAGTTAGAGGTGCAATTAGAGGTGAACGTAGAGGTGAACTTAAACATGGGCTTTCCAACCGGGTGCTGTGCGGCCAGGTGGGACGTTCCCCGTGCGGCGGAAGCGCAGACCAAGACTGTTCGCAGAATCGGTCGCGCCATTGGGGCCCCCACAAAGGAGACGCAAAGTGTGAACAGCGGAAGGGGCAGCTGCATCCACTAAAGACGTGCAGACATGTCGAAAACGATATCGAGTCTCTCCCTCATTACGGACACAGAAGAAGAGCGACCCTGAGCAAACACCACAGTCGTGATGCGTCCCCCGAAGAGAGGTACAGAAGAAGCACAAGTGCTGCCGATCTGCTTCCACGTGAGCAAAAGGGTAAAAAGAGGACCTCCATATATCATTACAATCTATTAAGAGATGAATCGAAGGTCGCTCCAGTGAAGGATCCAACTGATGAGGAATGCACAAATGGAGTCAACTCATTTACAGTGCTAGGTAGGAACCTCCGCAGGGATCACAGATCGAACCAGTTATATTCCCTCCAACGTAGAAATGAAGACGTGGTCATGGAAATGGACCGAACGAATCTAGGAAAGGCTTACCCGTCTCCTTATCGACTGTACGTCAAGGTGAAGAGATTATTTAACGCGGCGACGTTAGTCAAGGAACGGATGGCAATGTCGTTTCAAGTTGTGCTGAGCAATTATGACTGGATCCAATCGGGTCATATGCTCCCCTATTTTGTGAGCCCCGAACACGGCTATATCATAAATAAAATTCAGGCGGTAAGCAGGCCCTTTTTGAATGACCCCCATTCGGGTATCAACACGGCAGTTGTTTTGGCACTTCCAACCCGAGCGGAAATGAGCAGAGTTTCCAACGCGACGAGTGCCGAGAAGACAGACAACACAGTGAACACGGCGAACCTTCCGGGCTTCGTACTCAAGGCGAACACGAAAGGGGAGTCATCTTATGGCCTCTTGAAAATGTGCTTGAAGAATTTGTCTCTGCAGATATGTTTCTATGATGTCCCATTTTGGAGCGACTCCCTCTCGGAAGAGTCATATGCCAATGATGAAGCCCTGGGGTGTAGCCTCTACCCGGCGGGACAACAGGAAGGGAGAACGAGACAGACGTGGCAGACGAGGAAGACGCTCGTTTCCAGCACGTTCATTCCGCTAACGGTTCTTTTGAAAAAGCATAAGACCAAGGTTAGGGCGCCGCTTGTGAGCTCCCCATTCTGCAGCAGTCGAGGAAGACGAAGCGACATGGAGGTGGAAATTCTCCTCAAGTACGACAGGGTGGACACAAGCGGGGTGCAGCAAAAGAGGGCCACACAGAGGGGTGGGCAAAACGACATTCAGAAAATTGTGCAGAAAAATGCGCAGAAAAAGGAGCATAATTTTGTGCAGAAAATTATGCAGACGAAATTTACCCAGGTGCGACCCACGCAGGAGCAATCCAAGCTGCTCAAGTCCAGGCTGGAGACATGGGCGTATGGGCACGCCAATGGGAAGGAGAGTACACCTGAATACGGCATCGTGGCTGAGGGCCTAAATATCGACTCATCCGCGGAGACGCAATCGAGGCTCCTCCTAAGTGACGACTTTGATCTGGCGGGGAGACACGACTCGATTGACTTCTGTAATATTCCCCTGCTGACCCTTCCCAAAATTCCTCCGCCCATATCGTAGGGAACCCATGTGGTAGAGGGATTTTCTTCCACCAAACGAGTTACATGATTTTCATTTTTCCTACTTTGTGGCTGAGTGGGTTGGAAAGACGCGCACCCATATTGGCGTCATCATTGGTGGCATCATTCAAGTCATTTGTTTGGGGGAGTTTCTTCCCTCCCCCTACACCTCATCAAAATATATGTGCCTTTTTGTTTGCGCAGGAATAGTGTTGCCTTATATATAGTACAAATTTGTTTGTGCCCCTCATTCCTTGGGGTGTTGCTGCCACTACACATATTTGCTGCCACACATTTTTGATTTTTTTGTGCCTCTTTGTCACCTCGCACATGGTAAATTTTTAATTTCGCGGGGGGTGTATGCGAGGTGGGCGTCGGTTATTTCGTACCTTGTCTAGCTGCGTGCACCTGTGGGGGCGCTTCTTAACAGTTTGCTTCGCAGCATCCCCATCAATAAACCCCTTTCAATCGTTAAACTAGCTGTGATGGTCATGCCCCTTTGTGGGGAAAAAGACGACTGCGTTCTCTCCCTCGCTTTGCTAAGTCGGATGCACATGCCCCCCGTGTTAGCACGTTCCAGCAAGGGTGAGCAGTCCCCAGTTTTTGCAAAACCATGTGGGGTGAAAAAGTTTTGCTCCATTTGTGTTGATGCCTTCCCTACATGTGCGCTCGAGTCGAAGCAGCCGAATGGTATATCCCCCCGGTTGGAAGTTCCACCTGCCCAATTATGCATAAACTTCAGTTGCGCATTTGGGACTTCCCACGGGTTGATTGTTTTGTTTAATTTTCTTCTGTTATCTTTCCTTTTTTTTCCCTTTCCATAGGTTGACCATTCCATGGGAGGCGACCCTTTCTTCTATCATGTCAGTTCTGATGGATAGCGGCGGGTTCCCTTCCAAAACAGGTCGCCTCGTGAGCGAGGTATAACTTCATCTCCTACACACAGCCGCTAACACATATGATGCCAGCCTACCTCCTATCTTCCCTGTATGCATGGGGCATCTTCTGGTGGTCCCTCCTTCTGTCTTTCATCTTCTCACTAACCGAGTCGATAACTTTTCTCATTTGATCCTTCCTGTCCTTCGAGAGATGCTCCTCATTATGACAGTATACACACTCATACGACCTTCGCCTGCATGTTCCCTTCATGTGCCCAACACAGGGGTAGCATATCCCCTTATAGTGCAGCAGCTTCGATGGATGGTAGGCTGAGTGAATGTCTGCATGGTCTCTATTGTGGCAATTTGGGCACCGATTCCTTTTTAAGCATCCATTATTTCCAGAGAAGAAGAAGGTACAGGGATGACAGACTCCCCTGTCGTGCGCATCTCGTTCTCTGTATCCGACTTGTTTGACGTAATGGAAATGCTTCCCCGTTTGACGGTTGACTTTGGCGCGGTCCCGTTTGGGGGGTTCCTCTTCGGAAATCTCCTTTATGGTGCGATCTCCTTTTGGGCCTGCCCCTTTTGTGGCGTCCCCCTTGGAGAGCCCCTTTTTTGCGGACGCCTCTTTCCCGTGTGCCGCACCTCCCCCGTTTTGTTCATGCCCTCTTTGCCAACTCATCTCACCTGCATGTGACTCGTTGTGACAGTACACACACGCGTGCATGGGTCTGGTGCATTCCCCCTTGAAATAGTTCGTACATGGGATGCACAACTTCTTAGCGTGTAGAAGCCGAGAGGGATGAAACGACGTGTGGGGATTTCTATGATCTTCATGGTGACAATTTAGGCACCTTTTCCCATTTGAGCATCCGTAGAAGCCTATAAAGTAGTACACGCATGGATGGCATGCTCCCTTTTCATGTCGACTGAAGGGTCTGCGACGAATCCATAAATTGTGAGTGGCCTGTTTAATAGGTTCCTGTTTCCTGCGCCATGATTTGGCTTCTTTCTTGTGGGTGATTACTTCTCTCTTTTCTGATTCTTCTGGGTCGGGGGAGTTAGTGCGGTGTGTAGCATCGCTTTGGCTGTCGGACACTTGGCTGCTTCCGCCGCTCAAGGCGGATTCGCCTTCAGAGGGGGTGCGCGAATGTGAATGCGAGCTGCGACGGTTGATAGGGCTGCCTCCGTTGCTGTCGATGCGGTGGTTCTGCTCTTTTCGGCTGCTTCCTCCGCTGATTCCTACGTTGCTTCCTCCCATGCTGGCACCCTCAGGGGAGGAATACCTCCTGACGTGTCTCACCTCACGGTACCGACCAATTGGCATTCCTTTGCTCAATGTTACGTTCTCCATGGAGCGCCAATTATCATCTTCGGTAATTCCCTTAGTTTTTCTCATTACGGTTTTGGGTGCTGTTCTTTTTGTTGCTTCTTTTCCCTCCTTTGTGGAAATGGGGTTACCATTGCTGGCATATTTACCCCCCCCTCTGGAAGACAAACTACAATTTGTGTACCCCACTTTGGACTCCTCCCTCTGATCTTCATTTTTACTGGAGAGGGGAACTCTCTCCTCAGGGTGTGATTCATTTGACGTAATTGATTTTTTATCAGAATCGGATAAAGCACTTCTGTTTCTTCTCTTGGAATTCATTTTTGTGTATATTCCTGATGGAGACCGATGACCTCTGACGAGTTTTCGTTTCGACGCAAGTGTGGAGAGACTTGAGCTGCGTGTTTTGTTTTTTGACTCCAATGTGGAGAGACTAGAACTGCGTAACTGTCCCTTTGGCTTCACATCGGATGGAGTGGAACCGCGTAACCGTTCCTTTGGCTTCACAGCGGATCGACTGGAACTACGCCACTGCCGTTTCCATCCCGAGGTGGATTGGCTCGATATACTCCCCTCGCTGATTCTCCCTTTGTGGGCTCTCCCGTTGATCATTCTTTCCATCTCCCTTCTGTGGGATTCATGATGACAGTACGCACATTGGTTCTTTTCTCTAGAAGTCCCATTTTGACTATGTCTGCAAGTACCCCTGAAATAGTCAACACAAGGTTTACACTTCCTCATTCTGTGGAGCATTTTGTAATAGCATAAATAGCTGGAGGGATTCCGGTGCTCCTCATGATGGCAGTTTCTGCAGTGGTGAGAGTAGTTGCACCCACTAGAGAAATAAAACGCGCACGGAATGCACCTATTAGCATTGTGTTCTTGTATCGAGTACCCCCCTGTTAATTCTCCTGTCATCATTCTTTGTTTTCTCCACGTTCTTCCCGCCTCCTGGTTTCTGCCATGGTCCCTGCCTTGGTTCCAATTGGCGTGGCCGCTCCTGGGATTGCCCTTGTCATAGCCCCGGACGTCACCCCTAACATCACTCCTAATATGGCTGCTAATATTGCTGCTGATGTCGCTGCTAATATCGCTACTAATATCGCTGCTAATGTCGCTGCTAGTATGTCTGCTAATATGTCTCGTAACACCTGTGATAACACCTCTGTTAAAACCCCTGGTAATACCTCTATTAAAACCTCTGCTGACACCTCTGCTGACACCTCTGCTGACACCTCTGCTAACCCCCCTTGGCCGCTCCGCATTATGCGTTGGCACGTCCTGAATAATCTTCACTCTGCTGGTGGCCTCCTCAATCTCGATGTCCTCCTCGCCCTGGCCCTCATCATGAAAATTTCGAATGTCATCCAGGGCCAACTTGTTCAGACTCTGGAGATCGTTCAAATGATATTTTGTTTCCTGCGTGGTCATGGAGTCCACCCGTTTGTTGCTCTGACTTGTGCAGGAAAAGGGGCCCTTTCCGAAGGAGCCATCTCCGCCCTCGATGCTGCATTTTTCTACATTCGTGGAGGCGCTGCTTTCTCCGCAGTTGTATTCGTTTGAGAAATGGCCTTCCTGATGGCTTCCAAGATGGCCTTCATGGGGACTTTCCGCGTGGCTTCCATCATGGCTCCCCGCATTTTTCTCCCTACAAATGTGCTCGTCTTCGGCTTTCATCTCTTGACCGTTCGGATTGGTCGTCCCTTCCTCCACAGTGCCATTACAGCCATCCTTAGTTCTAGATACCTCCCCCCCTTCATTGTCCCCTGCGATATTTCCACAATTCATGTGTGATTTCCCAGTTAGGGGATTACTCTCCCCTCTTACGTCCATGTCAATGTATGCCACAAACTGGGAAGAGGAGGTGTTCTTCACCTTATGCTGCAAATCTTTACACATATTTTGTTCTTCCTCTCCTTTCGAAGAGTCCCCTTGATCGTATAGGGTTAGAGGTCGCTTTGCTCTGCGGCTTCTGCTGTCGGACATGTGGTGTATGCCAAGGTCACTCGGGTCGTCTGCGTACTTCCTGGAAAGGCATTTTGAGTTTCTATGTTCTTCATTCTTCTCATAAGACGCTAAAATATCCTTCTCACACAAATTATTTCCTAAGTGATGCTCGTGTTGTTTGGTATAACTTCTGAGTCCTGGTGTTCCCATTTCTGTGTTGTTTTTTCTCTCTACACCGTCTCTTCTGTGCATTCTTCCTCCTGTGTGTGCATTTCTGCTGTGACTTCTTGAGTGTGCATATCTTTTGGAGGCTTCACTTACGTGTGTGCTTCTCTTGTGTGGGTCCCTTTTCCTTTCACTGCTTGGGGAATCCACGTTGGGTGGGCGGGAGTGTCTCGCCACGCTGCTGCGGATTCGATGACTACTCCGATGATCCTGTCGATTCCTGCTCAGGTTAGAGGCGTGGGTATCGAAGGCAGAATCCGCGACGATGGACACCGAATTGGCCACTTTGGCAAGATCATCCGCAACCTCCGCTGGTGCCGCTTTCCCTGGTTGGTGCTCGTCTGAAAATTCCCCCCTCAAGGTCGCTGCGCAGACGCCCAGGACGTTCTTCATTTTTAAGCCGTAGGATATGTGGTCCGTGTCGTGACAATACGCGCTGTCCGCTTCGCAGGGGCACTTCTCCTCGTCAATGTGGGGACACACTTGGCACAGGTTCTTTTCATGGAAGTAAGTCATAAAGTATAAACTAGAATTTTTCTTTTTGTGCACCTCGCTGTGGCAGTCTGGGCAGTTACCATTGTCCAGGCAAGTGGAGTGCGCATCCCCCGGAAGGAAGTAACTCTTACATGGTTTCTTCCCCTGTGTTTGGCACTCAGGACACGTTTTTACGGTGTTCTGCGCCCCTTCAGTGCTATTGTCTCCACCTTTTTCGACATTGCCTCCTCCCCCCTGAATGTCGTCATAGATGAACGTGAATTCCCTGTCCATGGTAACAAAAAGGTTGCGATCACAGATGCTACTCCTCCCCTTCTGGAGACTGTAAAGCAACTCTTTCGTAATCACATCGGTGTGTTTTTTCTTTTCATACAGATCATTCAAGATGCGAAAATATAAATGTCGTACTCTCGATGGTAAGTGCTCAACGGAATGGCAAAAATGGCACTCATTTTGGATGGAGCAAAAACCATCTCTAGAAAAGTAGGAACAGACTTTACACTTGTTCCTCATGTGTAACATTTTATGAGGATGCAAAGGGGAGTTCTTATCTGTGTGACTGTAATGATGGCACCATTTGCACTTAATGTTGTTACTACACAGACTGTTAGGGCTGCTAAATTTGAAGCAGGGGATACATAAGCCATATATGTGTAAAAACTTCTGAGTAAGGAACAGAATGGTTTCTTCTTCTTCATTTAAGTGAAAAATCTCTGTTAACGATTTTGTGATGGTATGTCCTTTCGCTCCAAAGAGGTCATTAAAATTGGCTACAACGCTATTTCTATGTTCCCCTAACTGTGAATATTCTTTCAGTTCGCATAGCTTTGATATTTCGGTAGTGTCATTTGTTCCTTCTAGGGGTGCTTTACTATGGGAGGGTGTTTTCCCTCTGTATGAGGAGCGTCTTCCTCGCTGTGGACTTCTTCCTGCATGAGAGCGTCTTCCCCAATCTGGGTGGAGCCTTCTTCCGTTGTAAAGGGTTCTCCCTTCCCACTGCGCGTCGATCCGTTCAGCAGCAGAGTTGATCGGTTCAGGAGCAGCGTTGACCAGTTCACCTCCCCGATCGCCCTTCTTCGCAGCGCTATCCACCATTTGCACCCCACCCTCGGAGCCCAAATCACATTTTGCGAATTCGTCTGAGAGGCACTGTACCTCCATCATTTGGCGAACTCTCTAAAAGGTCCTGTGTGTACCTGGCCAAGTTAGAAAATATCCCAAATCTGCATAAACGTTTTAGCAACCGCAGGGTGTGTGGAGGTGGTTGAAAAAAAGGTATACTCACTTGGGGGTCAGTAGTATTCCTTTTTTTTTTTTTCTTCGACTCGTTTATGCGCCTGTGTGAAGGAACTCCTTTCGAGTGATTATTCCTCCTACTTAAATCCGCACGGCGGTAGAGAGACGAGAACGGCTCGTGCCCTTCGCGTCGCGCTGAACACACAAAAAAATGTTGTTTCCAAATGGAGAGGTGACGAAACGCACGTGGCTGAAAAACTACGCAACCGTGTGGGGAATGGTGCCCTCTTGGCAACAACGTTGCGGCTACGCGTGAAGTGAAGAATTTTGGCAAAGCCGCCCCTCTCGTATTTGAAGTAACGCAAGGAAGGGACAAAAATAGGGCACGTAAAAATGGGGGTAACAATTTTGTGGGTATGCCAAAATGTGAGTGAGAAAAAATGTGAGTAGCAAAAATGTAACTATGCAAAAATGTAAGTATGCAAAAATGTAAGTATGAAAAAATGTAAGTATGAAGAAACGCAAAATGCGCGATAATTTTTTTGGAGGTGTGGTGCTATTTTTCCGCCTACACCTTGAGTACGGGTGGTGAGCTATTTCAACTGCTGTATTTTCTCCCCGGCAACATGCAACATCCTTTTTTGCGCATATAAAATAGCACCTTTTGAAATACGTAGCAACTATCGCTGGATAGGAGGGGGGTTCCCCTTGTGCGTTATTTTTGGATGTATATATGAAGGGAACCCACATGCGTGGCTAGATTTACACAGCTTCGTGTAGATAAGTAACCTATACGCACGTACATGTATCATGCATACATGTGCGCAGTTAGCCGAGTGCACAGTTGGAAATGCGTAGGTATAGTGTAAAAAAGGGGGGCGGGAGTGGAAAAAAAAGGGCTGGTGAGGTAGGGGGGAGAACTTGCAAAAAGGGAAGTGACCCATACGATGGTGTGCCCCATTTTGCTATGTACAAGTGCTTAAGCCCCTCTAGGAGCAGGAAGCAAACCATTTATATAAAACTGGGGTCCCACCCCGTTTTGTTTGTTTTAAAAAAAAATGTACTCCACGGGGACGTACGTAAAAGTGTAGCTTCCACTTTGCCAGGAGCACCTCCTTATGGGGCCGAAAAAACGAGAGGAAACTTAGTCAACCCCCTGTAGGATAACATTTTTGGGGGAAATGCAAAAAAAAAAAAACTGCGTATAAATGATGCCCAGGAGTGGATACCCTTTTTGTGTATCACGCCGAATGGGGCAGTACTTTTATAAATATCACTAAGGGAATCATCCTCAGCAGGGGCCGCAGAAGAGGCTTTTCCACCCCTATGGGACCAGCAAACAAAAAAAAAAAAAAGGGAGCACATTTTTCCCTGTATAAAATGTCAAGCTCGCTAATTTTTTTTTTCCTGTTTTATATAACTACTACGCAGTTGTGTGGATGGCACCAACCCCTCACACCTAGTTTTTCATCATTTTTTGTGCCTCATACACTACTTTATGCTCGTCGGGCATGTAAAAAGGTTCGTACACATGCGGAAATGGAGTATCATATCCGCAGACTCTTCTAATTGGGGTGTGCAAATTGTAGAAGGACCTCTCCTGAATTTTGGCAGCAATTTCGGCTCCAAACCCGTTGGTCACTTGAGCTTCGTGCGTTATTAAAAGGCGTCCTGTTTTTTCCACCGACTTCTGAACCGTTTCAATATCCCAAGGAATGATCGTTTGCAAGTCGATAACTTCACAGTCGATTTTGTGCTTGGTCAGTAAAATATCAGCTGCCTTCTTCATTTTATGTACTAAGGACCCCCAGGTAACAATAGTCAAATCGGTGCCTTCTTTCACTACATCAGCTTTGCCTAACTCTAGCTCGTACGCCTCCACGGGGACCTCACAAACGGATGATCTATACAGAATTTTTGGTTCAAAGAATAAGCAAGGATTGGGATCTTTAATGGCTGAAAGTAGCAAGCCCTTTGCCTTGTATGCGTCACTAGGTACAATAATTTTAATGCCAGCTGCGTGTGCAAAGAACGCTTCTGGACTCTGTGAGTGATAGAGACCTCCATGACCTACTGCACCCCAGGTTGATCTAATAGTCAATTTCCCCACATCGAAACTGCTTCCGGATCTGTATCGATACTTGGCTACATCATTCACTATTTGATCAAATGCGGGGAAGATATAATCCCCAAACTGTATCTCTGCGATGGTTGTAAATCCATTTTCTGCTAATCCGATTGCAAAACCGATGATGCCTTGTTCGCACAAAGGAGTGTTAAAAACTCTTTTATTCCCATACTTATTTAGTAAATCTAGCGAACATCTGAATACCCCTCCAAAGGCTACATCTTCCCCGAGGAGTATGGCACTGGGGTCTTTTTCAAACACGTTGTGCATAGCTGAGTTGATTGCTGTAAACATGTTCATTTTTTTTTTCTCCCCGTTATTTGTGGTGGAAATAGATCTGAACGCATGCATCATCGTTCCGCAGTGCAGGGCGGAGTTTTTTGTTCCACCGATGACTCCATTTTTGTGTAAGCCAATTTTTAAAAATTTTACTACACTGCGTAATTCCCCCATCATTTTTTTTCAAAGTCCAGATGTCAAAGTGTAGAAATGGTACCTAAAAAGGAGGATTGCGTATATCTTGTCGTGGAGAATTGGAGGCAGTATACTTTAATCTCTGTTGCTATATTTTTAACCTCTATAGGGAGTATATATATATTTTTTTTTCTTAAATAATTATCGAATTTATGCCCTTTCAGGATCTTTAAAAGTAGAAATAAAATTCCCTTTACAGTGAACTTCTTCTCTAAGTGAATACATTCACCTTTTTATTTGTCAAAAAAAAAAAAAAAATTGTGTTAATTTTGAACCGTATCGTATGGGTCGGAGAAATTAATGCGGTTCGTGAGGAGAATCGAGCTCATTCCTCCCCAAGTGAGAGAGCGCATAAACAGGAAATGTATATGTGCATAGATACACCTCTGTGTTTTTTTTTTTTTTTTTATTTTCTCGTCAGTATTTCCAGAAGAGGGGTTTAACTAGTTTAGTACAGTTCGGCATAATTATCAAACAAGGGATTATGTAACGAGGAGGGAAGAACGCACACAGGTTCCTTCATAACTGTTTCGTTTTTATTTGTAGCGTTTTAAGGGACTCTGTTTGCTTCTTGTTTACCTTGAGGTGCATAATAGCTATTTTTTTTTTTTTCATAATTTTATATTTCCTGTTCAGGCAGTTTAGCATATTTCCCAATAAATGTGCACCTGAAATAGCTGTATCGACAAAAAATTATGAACAAAAAAAAAAAATAAATAAATAAAATAAAATGAAATGAAGAGGCTACTCCTACCCTAATGCAAGAATGCACAAGTTGCCCTTTGCCGAAATGTTAAGCCGAGTAAGAAGCTTTCTCCTTTTCATGTACCAAAAATTGACTTGGTTTGACCCTTTCGCATGTAACATAGGGGAGGGGGAAATTTATAAGAAAGGACAGAATCATCCTTTCTGGCAGAGTGTTCAATAAATGGTCGGCAGCAAACTGCGGAGAGACGAATGGAGATACATTTTGCATCGCTCATCGATCACTCTTTCCATATGTAGTAGTCGCTATGTATATTACAACGACAGACACAACGTACAAAAAAATCAGCAACAAAAATGTTTTCCCTGTGTTGGTCAGCTCTACGAAAGGAAAAATTGTAAGCCGTTACAGTGGCAGTGATCAAATGTGAAATAATTAGAACTGTGGGAGGATAACGGTGCGCGCCAACACGTCGATCGGGTTATTTCCCAAACTACGCAGCGGTATGCAGATCTCGCAGCGTAAACATGTGTAGGGATACATGTATAGGGATACATGTGCTCTTCACCCACCAGGGCGTGCTGCTCTTCCTTCGCTCTGCAGCTCTATTCTCCTCACCTTGTGGCTTCGAAGGCAACTTTGTGTTAATAAAATTCAGCGTCTCGATTAACGACCTACCAACGGAACCCGTTGCAAAGTAAGTCACCATAAACTGCTTTGTCACATCCTTCTCGTTTATGTACTTTTCCTCAACTCCTTCCCTCTTCGAAATAATGAATCGCCCTAGCTGTTTGACATATACCAGCAAAATGCCGTCGTGACACTCCTTATTTCCTATGCCCCATTTTCGCAACAACTTTTGAGAGAAACGTTCAACCGCTTTCTCATAGGAGCTGTTTTTGCTGATGACAATTTCGGGGACCACCGCGACTGCAACCTGATGTGGGGGGTAGAAAAAAAATGCCCAATATAGCTCCATTGCAAAGCTGGACATGCATGTGTATATGTATATTAGGGGTGGAAAAATGCCCCGTCTTTACGCCCATCACAAGAGGGGAAAGCACACACATACATATATACATATTCATATATGTACGCCCGTGGGTTGGCGTACTTGGTAGTAAAAAACCCTCCTGTTGGAGCATTTGTGGAAATTCGTGTCCCGTATCTTCAGAAGAGCCGCCTCAACTTCCAGCTGTTCGCTCAAACTCAAAAGATGGGAAGGGTCACACAGCCAAGTGTGGCTGATCCTGATAAACACGCGTGAAGGGGCATACGTGTGTCCACATACGGGGGACATACACACCTATGAATGTTCCGCCTATGTTTCTGCGTAAAGACTGAACAAACACGACGCTAGAAGCTCGTCATGTGTATATATTCTGCGGTAGCTACCCTAAGGACAAGACGCACTCCTCGGGGTTAACGAACGGGTCAGGGAAAGAATGTTCGTCGTAAGGTTCACCTGCGAGGGGGTAGTTGCTGTCGCGGAGGGGTTCAATGTAGGAGGGTGAGTCGAGAAACGTGCATTGGGGTGTTGGAAAGTTGGGCCGTTGTGATGTTGTCACGTTGGCACATTGTGAGTGTTTCCTGCCTGGGCGTCGCAGAGCTACGAAG